GTTACAGCATCATTTCCTGAGGTTCATGTCCTTCCACCCATCTCCAAAAATCATTATTGTGATGGAGGATTTCAGGTAAACAGGTTTGCTGCTGCTGCTGCTGCACTCTTAGCTTAATAACTGGGCTGAGGCAGAAGACACTGATGCTGTGATCGTGCTCAAGTTACTTTAAAAAAAAAAAGAAAACACTTCAAACAGCGTTCAGGCTGACGGTAGTGGAACCTGACACTGTGAGGGTGGGGAGGCTGGATCTGACTGCAGGAGCTAATATGTATTCAGCAGCTTGTTGCAGGTTGAAAAACACAGCAGATGATTGATACCTAGACGACTGCTGTCGGGTTTTATAGAAGAGGATATGGAGATGTTATGATGCTGAGTGGCTTCCTTGTTAAAAAACTGGAAAACAAAACACAGAATAAAATCAAACTGCAAGCTGTGAGCTGTGAACTGTCTTTGGAGTTTAGTAAAAGGATCGGACGTATTATCATTGTGAACAACAACCCGACAAAGACATGGCAACATCAGAGTTTCAGCCTTCATATGAGAGTCTGTAAAAACAAAGATACTGCAGACACTTAAACTGAAAATGTCTAAGGCTAACCTTCACCATTAAACGGATATTCTGATGTAAAATTAATTTAGGGTCAAACACCGCAACACCGGAGTTAGACACTCCCTCGGGAGATGAATGTTGCAGACTGCTTGCTTCTCTAGTTATACCAACTTTAATAACGACCGCAGGATGTGGTAGTGGTAAATATGGTAGTTCTTCTGCCTTAGTGTTTCAGTCTGATTGCATTTTTCATGAAGAAATGATCATAAATGTTCTTCCTTGAGCTGCGTCACCCCGCTGTAGTCCGTAATAGACTAGCCTGAGGTCTCGCTACAAACAAGCGGCTGCTGGAAGAGAGTAGGTGAGCTGTGTTTAGTCTCTTTGCTAAAGAAATTAGGCAAAGTTAAAAAGATGAGCATTATTTGTGGCTATAGAGTGGCGTTTTGGTTGAGGTTTGTTTATGGCTCCTCAGACCGCTGTGTATTGCTGTCGTGTGGTCATTACTAAAGTTGGTATAACGAGAGAAGTAAGCAGTCGGCAACATTCATCTCTCGAGGGGGTGTTTAACTCGGTGTCACAGTGTGTTGGACCCTAAATTTATTTTACGCCGGAATATCCCTTTATCGTAGCCCTTTAATGCCTGAAACCACAAATTATGGCCAGAAAATTCAACTTTATTTGGAGCTGAAATGTTTATTTCTCTTACTACTGAAAACCAAAAAAATCAAAATGTCCTTAAAATGTAACAAATATATTTATTTATCTCATTTGAAACATTAGATGTTTTTGGAAACTTATAACCTACAAGAAGACATCTTTATCATTTATCGGACTGTATTCAGGTGTTTTCTAAGTGATTGGTTGATCATATTGATTTGATAGTAGTATATAAAAGTATGTATCAATTATGATACAAAAGGCATTAAAGGGTTAAAGAAAAAACTGAACTCACAGTCAGGAGAGACTGAAAGCGGTTTAAAGTGAGCTTCAATTTCTAAAGGTGCTTTTTCATAGGCGTCTTTATCACCTAGTTCTGTGAAATCCATTGACTCATCAGAGAAAAGAAAACAGGAAACAGGCAATCGCAGTGCAATCATGAACCTTAAGAGCAAAGAATACGGGGTCTGGAGATATGAGCAGGTGGAGCGGGGAGGCCTCTGTGAGCTGGTGGTGTTTGAGAGGCCGAGATAAGAGCGAACAATTAAGGGTGCAGATGGCCCAGCAGTTTAAGATCGCCCTCATAAACAGAGGCCACGGTTCTCATCACGGCGGCGGCCGCTCTCTTGAATCCCTTCCACTTCCTTTTGCTCTAAGCCTCCCCTCACTCTCAACACCCCGTATTTCCTGTCTCGCCTGAGCTGTCCTCTCTTATAAAAGGCAAAAATGCCTCAAAGACATAAGAAGTAAAGAAGTGAGAGAGTGGAAAACATGTCAAAGAAGCTGAATCATTAAAACACAGACAGTGCATCATGATCGCACTTTTAGAGCCATCATTCATAATTAAAGAAGAGGCTTCTGTATTTAAATTTATCTCACACAAATGTGGCACATATGGTAACTTTAATCAAATATAATTTTCTTTTGTAACACATTTCTTTTTTGGAAATTGCTCTGCGTATTTTTGTTTACCAAGGCTTGTTAATTCAAGGTCTGCAGATGAATAATTCAACCCAGGCTGATTAAAAATCTTGCTTAAGATTTAAAAGTATGCTTGTACATTCCCAGTTCACGCATTTATCAGCACAGTTAAAGACTCCGCTCTGCATCCATGTTAAAATAAATCAAACATTCATTTTTTTCTGGGGCATGCATCAGTCAAAAACTCTGAATTACTCTGCAGCCAAGTACCACATGAATAATAAGAAGACCAACACCACTCTGCCCTCCCTCACTATAAGACTGAAGAATTAAATTAAAGACCATGCCGTGCTTTATTTAGTATTCCTCCCAGCTCCTCTGATCTACAAAGAAGTCAGCTCCGCCTGAATTTCAAGGACTCTCCTGCAGGATACAGAAGATGTTCTTGCTGTTCTGCTGAAGCTCGGATAGAGAGACAGAGCTCGGAGTTTATAACAAATGGATCAAGTACAAGTTTAAGCTAAAAGCCAGTGCGGATTTGTATAGTTTTGAGAGAAGCTGTGAGTGTGTATCACAGCTTTTAATATCGCTGCTATCTTCAGTTTTGCTCACAGTTTGAGTCTTTTTGTGGCGTTTCTTTCTACGCTCACCAGCTCGGCTGCTGTTGCCTGGATTGCAGGACGGGTTCTTGTTTCCCTCCCTCTATCAGAGACTGTTGTGGACCAGTAGATCCTCCGGCTGCCCTCATATCTGCGTCTGCGGACATGATTTCCCATCTTTAAAGACCAGCCAAGAAACAAACGGTTTTGCCACAGTGTCAACAGGCAGTGATGAAACGAGAAATGTTGTGTTTGACCAGGTTGTTCATAAAAACCGTTTTCTGTTGTTAATGAGAATAAATAACTGCTGTTGAGAAGTTTATAATAATATTAAAAAAATGGTAATAATAGTGTATGATCAGTAGAAATATATCAGTTTGTGGGGTTTGTGACCACAAGAAGAGGCCGGAAAAGAGGACATTTATTCCTGCAGTTCCTTTAAAGTCAACATAACAAACCCTGGTTCTCCTTCCTGACCTACACAGACCTCTGTACTTCCTAATTAGGCTTTGAGTGCGGTGTCACAGAGGAAATGACACCTGCTTATTTTGCCTGTTGGATTATTTATAACCTCAGCCTTGTTATATAATCTGCAGGGCAGCAGGTCTTTTTCCTCATCAGCAGATTTGATTGAAATGAGTGTAAATGGGTCAGCTGGATAGAATGATATCGAATATTTGGGGGTTGGAGCCGTATGTGGCTCTGCGTTTATGTGCACAAGACTGTTGTGCTGTCTCAGTCTCAGAAGAGGAAAACTTGCAGCAAACAGCCAGATCCTGGAGTCAAACTTTATATATAGCTGCGTTTACATGGGCGCAAATAATTGGAATAAAAATGCGTCATGTAAAAATGTCGATTGGAAGATTCTGATCCAATTCGGCTCAATCGGAAAGAAATTGTATTCCGATCGAGAAGCGTGGTTTATGCCGATCGTTTTTCCGAAACGCGTCCATGTAAACACTTATTCTGATCGTGACTCTCTTACCTGACTCGATCTTCACTCTTTAGCCTATGGTTTATTAATTTATTGAGGCCAGTTCAGGAGGTTTCATAAAACACAACCCCGGACTTGAGCACAAACCAGTCTGACAGTAACTACATGTCAACATCACAACCAGGGGGGAGAAAAATTTATGTTCTGTGTAATAAATTTCTAAAGTTTGTTCACAGCCCCATAAGGATTGCTGGTGGAGGCAGGATTTATGACCTATACTGCAGCCCGTCACCAGAGGGTGCTGTTCTTAGAGTGGCTTCACCGAGCGAGGAGGCAGACGGCGTCCATTCTATATACAGTCTATGGTGACAACATTTAACAGGGGGAAAACTCTTGAATTGAATGGAGTGAGCCACTACCGCCTTTGTTGGTTGGTTTGTCACTTAGTATTAACACACTCTGATAATAAAAGTGCATGATCAGTAGAAATGTATGAATTTGCAGGGTTTGTAACGACAAGATGAGGCCAGAAAGAGGGCAGTTCCTTCAAAGTAGACATAACAAACACTGGTTCTCCTTCCTGACCTGCACAGACTTCTACACTTTCTAATTCAGCTTTGAGTGCGGTGTCACAGAGGAAATCACACCTGCTTATTTTATCTATTGCTTCATTTATTACCTCAGTCTTTGTTACGTTATATAATCTGCAGGGTTAGGGTTAGCATTTCCTGGTTATAGCTGCATGTGGCTCTGTGTTTATGTGCAAGAGATTTTTGCAGAAAGGGAAAACATGCAGCAAACAGCCCGGTCCTGGAGTCAAACTCTGTATATGTGCTGAACTCAACAGTGTTTAAATTAATAAATACATACGACTCAGTTTTAGATTAGTCATGTCATGAAAATACAAAATTTAAAGACTAAAGTTGATTTAATTTGAGTGTGCATGGTTGAACAGATCTCTGCTCAGGTTGACGGAGAAGTAAATTTTAAATCATGTAAAACAAACAAATAATTTTTTTATCAACTTTTTAAACAAATTAACACTTTTTTTTCATGTTGTTTTATTAATCTGAGGAATTTTGAGATTTTTTCAAGAGTTGATTCAGTACAACCTCACACCTTTAAATCAGTGTTTGTGCTACAAATGCATAAAAACATCAGTATTTAATATTTATTCATTCCTGAAACTTCTCTCACTAATTTGCTAAAACAACAAATTCTGTGTCACATTCAGTTAGATTAATATACGGACGTGTCTGTGTTTCAGATTCACACCGGAGTCACTGTGTCAGATCAGAGGAAGTCCTCGTCTTCCTATGATATCATACTTGCGAAGTCTTCCTTTAAACTCAGTAACTTCAACATCTGCTCTTACTCATCCTGCTGTTGCGTCTCCGTCCTCTGCAGACGCACTGGGCTGTAAAAATGGCTGCATCTGCTTTGATTACCACGACTCCATGAAACCAGATAAGGAACTAACTCTGTCAGTACTGATGGTCTGTGACCTGTTTTTACAACAGCTGTTGCTGTACATGCGTGTGTGTGTGCATGTGTGTGTGTAGCAGATGTTCTTGATTCCTGAAGCTTAGGTTTTTGCTTAGATTAGCATTATTAGGGGGATTGCTAATTAGCCGGACAGGCAGGAAGCTTGTTGCTGCGTCCCAAAATCCTTCTTTAGGTTCACTTCCGACTTTCCATGTTGACTGAAGCGTCAGAAGCTGCAGCAGCGGGTCCTGTTTTATTACTTAAACATCTTTATAAAAACAGATAATCTCTATTTTATTGGGTTCAGATGGAAATAACCGAATGAACTATTTTTCATTGACGGTAATTTTCTTGGAGAGTAGAATACTTGGTCATTGATAGTTTTTTTTTGTTTGTTCATCATGATTCAACGGTTTAATATCAGCCGAAACAGTGAAAAGAAAAGCTGCAATTTCACACTTATGAGCAGCTGGGACCTTGAAATGTTTATGTTAAAAGACGACACATATCTTAAATTCATCTAACTTAATGTTGAAGTAAATTTAATTTCCACTTATCTTGTATCCCTCTGCATAATTTCAATTATGACTGGATCAAGTCATATTAGTTTAACTTCCTATTTCAAAAACTTTAGCCAAACTTTAAAGAAAAAGAAACAAAGAAAAGTACCTCGACTGAGTTTCTTTAAGTTCATAAGGAATAAGGGTTACTTTGTCTTATCTGAACCCCAAATGCAGAACTGAAAGTGTCAAGAGGATGGAGGTGTTAAGAAACAGCTCAGTCAGCTGACAGCTATGCACTTGTGGGGTGGTGGTCATGTATAAAGGAAACAGCATAACACATCCGGCAGCCAACAAGCCAACAGCTGTGGACGGTCTGAGCTGCAGGTAAGACATTTTTAAATGATCTGGAGGCTTTTTTACTTCTTAAACTTTAACTAGTTCTCATTATGGGTCTTTTAATTTCTCCACAGTTCTGCTCATCAGTACAGGATGGAATATGAGGAGTTTACTGGAGATTATGACTATAACTACACCTCCCTGGATGAAAATTATACTATTAAAGAGCAGCCAGTGTTCACACACCGGCCAACATGTTTGATGGAAGTTTTGTGTGTGAGTTTACTCGTGGCCAGCATTGTCATTTTCCTTCTGGGCTTCTGCGGAAATGCTGTGGTCATCTGGATTTCTGGTTTCAAGATGAAGAGGTCGGTGAACACCACCTGGTACCTGAGCCTTGCCATCTCTGACTTTGTCTTCTGCGCCTTCCTCCCGTTCAGCATCACTAACATGGTGATGGAGGAGTGGATCTTCGGCAGCTTCATGTGCAAGTTCGTCCCCTCCATCATGTTTCTCAACATGTTCAGCAGCATCTTCCTCCTGGTGGTCATCAGTGTGGACCGCTGCGTGTCAGTGGTGTTTCCAGTTTGGTCCCAAAACCATCGCACTGTGAAAAAGGCGTCCATTACCGTTCTGCTGTCCTGGATCCTCGCCATCGCTCTGAGTTTCCCCTCTGTGATGTTCCGTGAAGTTGGCACTCATTTGGGGAGAACCATTTGCTACAACAACTACACAACAGACCAGTACAGTCACAAAACAATCGCAGCGACCCGCTTCCTTGGAGGATTTGTTATCCCTTTCACCGTCATCATCATCTGCTACTCCATCATCATCCTCAGACTTCGCACCAACAGGATGACCAAATCCTCCAAACCCTTTAAAGTCATGACGGCGCTTGTGGCGACGTTCTTCATCTGCTGGCTGCCGTACCACGTGTTTGTGCTGCTGGAGCTGAACCATCAAAACTACGACCACAACCTGTTAACCACTGGACTCAAAGTGGGAACTTCTTTCGCTGCAGCCAACAGTTTCCTCAACCCCATTCTGTATGTGTTCATGGGCAACGACTTCAGGCGGAAGTTCAGGAGCTCCGTGCTCTCCAAGATTGAGGATGCGATGGGAGACGAAGGTCGAACCACCAGCAGGTACCTGTCCAGGTCCAGCTCCGTGGATGCCAGAGCGTCCACGCATATCTAGAGGTGAAAGGAAATATACTTCTTTGAATTACTGTGAGACAGCATCTCAAATGTGTTTTTCATCGTGACGACGCTGTATGGACTGACAGTGCAATTACTGAATTTCTTTCCCTGTTGACAGAACAGAGAAATGTATTGCCAATTTAATCCTGTAATATTGACGTATATGCAAGTGTGAGCCAATGTGTAAATGTGTACTCGGCTCATCTTGTGAGGCAGGATTTGTGAAGACAAGCTCTTGCAGCAGAATGAGAATTTCAGAGCGGGGTGTGCAGGAAGCATTGGAGGCAATAATAAGACTGTAAATATGGAGTGTATATTGTATTTTCCATCTGATAAACATTTGAATGTAGTTTTGTTATATGCAGTTTTCTGTAACCAACCAAAGGGAGAAGCAACTTGCAGAGATTCAGTGATGGTGGGACCATTTAATTTCTTAAATTCATTCTGTTATGAATGCAACTCTTGCAAGACTGGAACCTGGACTGTTAGAAAGACATTTTTTTATTAATGCAACATAATCTAATCAAATCTAACAGGAGAGGAAAAAATCAGTCATGTAAAATTTTTGATTTGGCTGTTCTTTGAATCTTCTTTAAAGCTGTTTTTACCAGGATACCTTTCATGATGTTGCACAAAAACCACACAGCCAGCTGATTTTGTCGTATGGATCTGTATCTTGTTGTACAGTTGATGCATCTGAGTAAAAAGTGTTTGTTTCTTTTGTGTCTTTTTTACTAAATAAAGTGTGAACCAATGAAATGCATTACTTTCTCACAGACTTCATTCTTTAATTTTGCAGCTAGTTTTATCAAACGATTGGAGAAGAGCTTCTCTGAAACTGTAATAACTCGTGTTCTGAATCCACAGTCATGTGTAGAGAAACGCAGTCATTAAAGCAACATGTCCTCTTTCCTCATTTGACCGTTCGCTCCTCACTGCAGTCTTATGAACATTTCTGCAACCATTTCTAAACATCTCAAGTGTGAAATAACTTTCCCTCTGATGGCGTCTCACTTCCTTCTTTATATAAACTTTACAGGAACATGAGAAGAAGAAGAAAAAGAGTACCTGTTATTTTTACAGTGTTGAAACAGAGCGAACAAGGGGAAAGACCCAGACTACAAATAATGCATAGGAAGCAGGCAGTGAGTCACATTGATAGTGTATTAACATTAGTGTATATATAGTATGAAAAAGATCTTTTACATGTAGGAGAGCAGATGGGTTTACGAGAAGGGAAACCCCCAAAGTTCTCCCCACCCCAACATCTTTTAGCTCTCTGGTCTGATTTTAAAGAAGATCTGTTTTTATTCGGGTTTGGGTCGTCGTTTTCATCCTTGTTCATATCTGCAGCTCAGTTAGAGAAACATAAAGATTAATCACTCATGTAATATTAAAGCCTAATTTTAGTTTTAAAACCAAACTCAAACGGTCCTTTTCAGTCTTGCCTTTAACAAAATTTGATATCATTAACTTAAAAAAATTTTGGTAACACTTTAAATAACCATAATTAATAAATAGTCAATAGATAGTTTATTAATGTAAGTTAATACTTACTTTACCATTAACAAGCTATAAAATTATGATGAATAATTTTCATCAGTTATAAATGGACTATTTATTAAAGGTTTATTTAGGGTTTAAATATTGGTTGTAAAACATCTAGATTAAAATGTGTGTCAGTAGCATTTTGTAAATGGTTAATATTTGGTTTTTAAACCATCTATAAACATTACTTAGATGGTTATTGTAAAGTTAGCGTTAGGATTAGGGTTACGTTTTTAAAATTGTAAAATGTACAATTTATTAATGGTCTATATGCTCTTTATAAATGATGATAAAACACTAATAAACTATCTGAAAAAAAATGGCGTTTCATCGGTGCGCACATTTCTGTTTCTATGAAATCAAGCCCTTTTCAAGTTCATTTATTTTAATACATGTCCCTGTTGTGTTCAGATCGTGGGGTGGGAATGAGAGGTTTGGGTTAGAGTAGATCATATATTCTGAGTAAAGCACTTTGTTTTGCTACATGGGTTTTGTATGAAAAGTGCTATATAAATAAAGACGGATTGATTAATTGATTGATTGATTGATAAAGGAGTCTACATACTTATCTCTGCCTGTTGACACTGTGACAAAAATGCACAGAGGCATTGAGGGTGTATTAAAACCTTTAACCCCTTTAGGATCTGGTCTCTAGGCCTATCTGGATTCATGTATGTCGTCCTTTCATTCGTCCTCATCTTCACTCAAAGGTTCTTCCCGTAAAAACAGACGACCACATCACAGCGACTTATTTCATGTTCTCATTTATTGGGCCTTTTCACGTTACATTCATTCCATAGAAAATACATTCAAATGTGACTCCTTGGTTCACACTGTCAGCTTGTCAATGAAAGCAGTAGCCAATAAAGTTTAAAGCATGTGTTAAAAATAGAAACAGCTTTTTCCCATTTTGCTTCTGGCAATACAAATATTGTTGATGTGTCAGCAGCACACGCTATAAAAATATATTTATATGATCCTGAAAATGGAAGTCAGTTCATGTGTTCTGGCTCTCAGTCACCAGTGTTGGATTCATTTATATATATATATTCATGTCTGTATTTATTTATTCATATATCAATTCATTTTTAAGCATATGGCAGAGCACATTGAGTACCATTGTAAGACGTGCTGATTATGAAATCTGAGAATATTTCACACTCAAAAATTTTAAACATGACGTAGCTCCTCCTACTACGAAGCCATAAAAAAAATAATGTTCGTAAAATAAACTATAATGATCACTACAGCTAAAAGTAACATCTGATCTATAACAACGAGCATGACGTCTAACTCCTCGGTAATCTTTGGGAAAAAGTGTTGCACAGTGAAGTGCTTTTTGGATTTTTGCATCAAGTCCAGTGTTCAGGAAACATATTCACACTTTGATTCTTCACCATGTGCACTGGACATCAGCAATAAATAAATGCTGTCTACATAAATAAACTCTGCGTGTCGAGTCAGTGCCTTCAAGAGAAGTTATAGGGCTGGGCGATAAACGGAAAATTTACCCATACTGAAATTTATGACAATAACCGACGTCATTTTGCCCATATTGGTATATTCAGTGTCAAAAAAAAAATACGTTACTTAAAGTTGGTTTTGGATGTGCGTAGGTAGGCTATGGTCTCATTTCTCTTTAAGACGCTGCCCCATCCAGTCCGCAACAAAGAAGGAAAGACAGGTGAGGAGATGGAGGACGGTTCAAAAGTTATCGCGGCTGAAGTAGACAAAGTTAATATGGGCGAGGGTGAGCAGCATGTGGCGTAGTAATCGTCCATTTATCGTTATCGAGGTGAACTGCTCAATATATTGTGATATTGATTATAGGCCATATCGCCCAGCCCTAAGAAATTATCTATCTTAATGAGTAAATTAAGTTCTTCTTCATCGCTGAAAACAAGATTCCGCTTACACCGAAGAACTTAGAAAAACTTGGACACACAGTTTTGTCTTCAGGTAGTTAAAGCCTGCATATTGCATTTTCGCCCCTCTGGCAAAGGGTTCAACAAATCACATGAACAGTGAAGTCATTTATAAAATAGTATTGTTCTGTAACTCTTATAGCAGCAGAAGATTGATACACTTAAATCCTTTTATTGTTTAGTATTTACTATTTTCTCCTTTGCAAAAATAAGGTTAACACACCTCTTTCAAAGTGTAGTATAATATCGTTTGGGTCGAATGTTTTTTCACTGGCAACAGATCACCCAGCACAGTCTGCAGTCACAGCTATTGTACCCTCTACATGTTAAGGCATGTGCACATGCCCAAACAGCACATGTGCATAGAGCAGGAGAAGAAGTGCTTTTCATTCGGACAGAATAACATGAAAAGTTCACACTGCTTCTTGGATTAATGCATGAAGCTGCTGGAGTGAAAATAATAAATAAGAATGAGGCTAATGTTCTTCGTCGTAAAGCTTCAACCTAAACGATCTACGAGGAAAAAAAAGAAAGACCTATGATGTTCTGTAATCCTACAACTATGATGGACAGTCTGTTCGCAAAAGAGGAAGAAAAGTCAAACAGCGAGATCACGTGTATCATCTCGGCAGATACTCCTCTGGAGCTCCGGGCATTTTCCGTTTCTTCAAGGCAGCGTCAACTGTTCTGATCAGCTCGTTGATGTTCGCTCTCATCTCAGCCGTGTAGGGGTCGTACTCAAGCTTTCGTAGCCCTGATCGCTTAAAGTTGCCGTCCTTCTGGCCCTCCACACAGAGCAGGCGGTCCTCGGAGACCTTCGGACCGAGAAACTGGACCATTCCCTTCAGCTGTGAGAACAGATCCCTTTTCAGCTCCTCAAAGTGGACCACGTGGACGTTCTTCCCGTAATTCAGCCAGTCCAGTGTGTGGGACGCCCACCACGGGGCGTAGTTCTTCACAAACTCCGGCCATCTGCAAAATAGATAGAAAAACTGTATTAAAGATTTAAATGTGTAAGTACACTGAATTAAGGCTGTTTTAACTACTTTATACATTCGCTCGGTTGATTTAAGGAGTCTTAAGTTTAACTTATGAAACCCTCAAAAAAGTCACTGAGTGTCAAAACTCTTCCCCTTGTGTAAAATCTGTTTTATCAGCTTGAATTACTCTTAGAAAACAACATCAGTTTGATAGATTTTTAATGTGACAATAAATAAAATTATAGAAAGAGGCAAAAGTAACTAAAGGCTGATTCCTACCCTGTATGTGTCACTCATGCAACACGTTTCATACATTCACAAAACGCAAAGAAAAAGTCTGCAAAAAAACATCAAGTTAAAGCTCCTGTGAGTGACTTTATAGCACTTGTAGACATTTCGGTAACACTTTACAGTAACCATAATTTATAAATGGTAAATAGATAGTTTATTAATGTTTAATCATCATTTAAAAACAGCATATAGACTATTTATAAATGGTCTATTTACCATTTATAAGTTATGGTTATTGTAAAGTGTGACTGACATTTCTTGTCCAGTTAAAAGTGTAAGTTGTCTTTTCCGATTAAAAAACTCCTTACTGTAGCTTTAATATGAGTTTGGCTTAAAAAAACAGCGACTGCAGAGGTGAGTCATCATAAGAAACTTTAAAAGCTTTCAAGCTGATGCATAATTTAAAGGGAAAAACTTTAACTTCCAGCTTTTCTTAAATGAAGTAATGCTCCCTCAGCTGTTTCTCCATCAGTAAAGGCCTTTAACACGCAACTGAACTTCCAAAATTAAAATGTCAAAATGCAGGCTGAGCAAAAAAACGAGAAGTGAGAGTCTCCATAAACAAACATTTGATGTCACTCGGCTGAGGTTCGGGCACTTCATGGAAGGGTAAATAAAACCGTTCATGTAATGTCTAAACATAAAGTCGACCATCTTGGCTGTCAGTCAACCTGCAGGAGAAATCCTTCGCTTGCAACTTTTTACTCATTGATAAACTGCAGATCCATAAACGCGGGGGCCGGCGGGGGCTGTTCTGCGTCCGCACAGAGCTTCACCGTTAAAAGAGGTCGTCGTTAAAGTTTAAAGGCTGCTGAGTTTGAAAAAATCTATAAGAGGCAGTTTTTCCTCAGAGTGGACAGAATATTAAACTCTGTGTCTAAAGCCGTGAAGAAACTGTCGCTCCAATGAGCCTCGCCCGTTTCCTCTCAGACTTCTAGAGAAAGACAGAAATAATTTCCTCGCTTATTCCAAACATCCTCTTTCACTGATGCTTGACTGAACAGATTATCCAGTTAAGATCCCTTAAACTTTGTTTTCACGTTCGACACGAGTTCAAACAAAAAAGTAAAAGAGTTTACATAAGAGCGCTTAGATAACGCTGTGCTTTATGAAATGACATGCCCTTCAAAATAAATCGACTTTGCCGCCGAGTTTCCGTTATGGGGCCACAGTGAGAGGCATCAACTGTCGGGAACATCATCCGAGGCCTTAAGTCTCCCTCTGTAGAGGTGAGCGCATCCAGTCAAACATGTGACGTCCCAGACACAATGTCACGCTGACTCCCAGACTGATCCTCGGCGTGTATTCAGCGTGGCAGCTGTCATGAAGCCTCTCTTTCTGCGCTGATGTCACAGCGACGTCTCTCCACCGACAGCGGGGGATAAGAAGTCATCGGAGATGGCAGGGCGAATGTGCTGATGTTTTCACAAAGACAGACAACTGCTGGGTCGGCAACTCTCCAGCCTCTGGAAAATCGATTAAACCTCGCAGAAAGTCAGGGAGATGATAAGCAGACGAGACAAAACTAGTTGCCATGGTTACCAGGACACCCTTAGGGGGGTGAATGTGATGAAAAAGAAAAAAAAGCAGACTATAAATGCGGTATAATGATATCCCAGAGTAGCTGGACCCAAATGTCTCATTTCTTTGATTATACAAAGACCAATGACCTCTTTAAAACCATTTAAACATCGAGGAGACTCAAGAGAAATTTCACTTAAACTAATTGTGCTTCAGCGTTGTTTCATAAAAGGTGGCAAGACGACAAATCAGCCAAAATGGGACTAATTAAAATGTGCCGTCTGAATACAACATATCAGTTTCAACATTACAGAGCAGCAGATTAATACAGCAGAAACCGTGAGGTGATACACGTCAGAAAAAACTTCCATCCACTGTGTCTAGAGTTTCATAATCCAGTGTTGTGGGAGGGTCTGGGGGAACAAGCTCGATGGACCTGGTGAGTCAACTCATGACATGTCCAAATGTGGATTTAGTTGGTGGACTCACAGTTTCATTTCTCATTTCTGTAATAGACAGATGTTGGCTGATATGGTGTGGTTTTGGAATATCGTCAACATAAATACTGAGCTCAGCCGCACTGGTCGGCAAGGACAACCGCAAAACAGCCCTGGGTTATCGATTATTTCCTCCTATGTCTTTGCTATTGTACAGGCTATTGACCCTTTCTCACTTCATTAAATATCATTACATACTCCCAGTAAAGATAATGATGTTGAATTTATCTATACATCCTAATTTAAAGGCATGGTCGACAATTAGAGAGATTGGTAATTATTATGAACCTCGTTTCTATGGCGATCGTGGTCCTAAAGTGCGATCTCCACAAAGTGAAGAGAAAAAAGAACGGAAAAAATCTGTTCACTCCAGCAGGTGCAGAGCTGCAAAACATTGACCAGTGGGAGCCATCCGTCCCGGACACGATATTTGTTTTCATAGGATGGAAGGAGAAGCTCCCACCTTCTTCACCCCTGATTGGCTAAAAAAGGTGGAAACGTCATCACAAGCTGTCGGCTCTGTACATCGAACAGAATATTATCGCACTTCTGAATCTCCTGACCCTAACCTGAGAGACGATGACGTTTCACAGCCATAAGGAATAACCAATCAGAGCCCAGCACTTCTAGCCAATCAGAGGCGAAAGAGGGCGGGACCTTCCCCTACGATCCTACAAAAAAAAAAAAATTGCGTCCGGGACAGCTCCTCTTGGTCAATCTCCTGCTCCGCCTCTCCATCCAATCACCTCGCTGTATCCGACACACCCCTCTCCCGTAGTTCCGACTTGTCCCCTCCCACTCTCCCTCCTCGGAGCTCTGAGCGGCTAAAAGTAGCGTAGCAGCTTAGCTACAGGAGCTGCGATGGAGAAGGACACACAAAAAAAACATTCTGCTCGCCCACCACCAAAAGTGCTAAGAAGACCCAGAGGGGGTGTGTCGTAGGGAGGGCGATACAGGCTCAGGAGGGAGTTATCGTGGAGCACAGAGGGGAGAGGTTTGTGTGTGTGGGGGTGGGGGGGTGGGACGCTTTTTCAAATCTGCCTCAACGACTCAGTTTTTTTCAACTGCTTCTCCGATCGTCAACCAATCAGATCGTTGTCTCTTTTATGTTTACATCATAAAATATTACTTTCAGGACCATTATCCAGTTTTTTTTCTTGGTAATAGCGGCTCACCTTTCCCCCTCCAATGAGCCTGAGAAGCGAATCCAATATGGCCGCCGTATTTCCTGTTAAATTCCGCCATGAGGGCCTTGTAGGGGTTTCGGATCATGAGGATGCTGGAGTCGAAGGCTTCGATCTCTTTCCTGCCACTCTCATGTGTCTTTATGCAGATCGTCCTCCCGCTTCGCCAGTGATCCCGCTCCCCTTTAAATCCTGTGAAACCATGACAACCCACAGTGAGTGTGTTTAATCCACAGAGGCCCCCCCCCCGGGAGAGAAAAAGGTTGAAGCGTACCTTTATTATAAAGCGATCCATCAAAGTAATAGCTGCCGGTGTAGAAGCCGGTGGCGAGCTCAATGAGGTGGCGAGCCCACGTGTTACCGGCCCCTGGGAAACTAGCGAGAGCCACCAGCTGCTTGGCACGAGTGGAGAGGAAATGGCGGTCCATACAACGATTATCTGGAAGAAAGCAAGGCCACCGGTCCTCATTATTATTGATCTTTTTATCTGGATAGTGCCGTGAGATTGATTTGAAACAAACACAGTGACCCTGACAGTATCAATTTGACAAGTTTCTCAGCAAACAAGCACTGAAAGTCGGTCACTTCCTGTTTTATAATCTCGTTCTGTTGTAATTTTTAGTGTTGAAAGGTTGGAAGATTGTGACAAGGATTCCTCAAATGTCAACAAAGCCAAGATAAGGTCGTCTAGTTTGTCGAAAAAAGTGGATACAGGCTCATAAAAACCATGTTTATTGACATTTTTGTATGTGTGGGATAATTCGCCTGATTCCTCCTCATCATCACCCTCCCAGATTGCCTAATGACTCCCACCTGCTGACGTCAGTGTGTTGGCCAACATGCTTAGTCAGTGTAAAAGGCAGCACTGCAGGCAAACTTATTTTGAGCTCATTTTATATCCTGCTCCAGGTTTTGTTTTGTTTTATTTTATTCTGCTTCACTAAAAATCTCCTTTTTTCCTTTTTTTTTTTGTTTGGCTGATCAAAGCTGCAGCTGCCTCGTGCAACAGGACCCGCTACACACGACAACACGTAGGCCACCGACTCATACTGAGTGTTTAGAGCAGATAAATACATTTAAATCTATTTTGAATAAACTGTTTCTGGTAAATGAGTTCATAAACCGCAGCAAAGACATAATAAACTGGTTTTCTCTGCTGCAGGATGTGGCTTACACTTCGGTGCCACAGGAAGCACATGCATCACAAATGCCCAGCACTAGTCTTTTGTTTCAAAGCTTGTGTCCTGCCCTGCATAAAGTATGACAAATGTGCCTTTCTTATAACAAAGAAATTATGATTAAGTTGTGTTTTTCTAAGGTCTGATGTTACCTCCGGACAGAGTTAGCAGTTTAAAGTCCTCTTGTAGTCAACACAGATCATAGGAATGTGTCTTTTTTTTAGGATCTGATATCCTGTCAGGAGTTTGTGTTTCTTGTTTTATTTTGGTATATGCTGCCGTCCTATTCCTCTGTTTGACTCTCTGTCTATGTTGATTTTCTCTGTTCAGCTGGATGCTTGTTTGACGCAGACAGTCAGAGATTCTTCAGGTATCTTGATGCACAATGCTGATGTGTTTGTGGTAAAAGTACTTACTGTTCGAACCCTTTATTAGACAGTCTTTTAATGCATTAAAGGTGGGGTAGGCAGGATTCTGTTAAAGAAGCATCTTTATTTGTGGTGTATATACACAAAAAAGCTTTTAATATCAGTCAATAGTTATTAGTTATTGATGACATTTGGGAATATAACGATATCGCTGTGTTCTCTTATGTCTGTGTAGTCAACATTTTAAATTATTTGAGTGGCCCGCTCTTTCTGACTCTAAACAAAGCCATTCTCTGCCTCCCCAGTCTGGTTAGTTGCGAGGCGGACCCTGGGCCCTCGTGTTGTGAGGCACACACCACGTCTTTGATTAACATTCACGAGCCCAAACAAAGTAAGCGTACTACAATATTGGATAGTAGAAACCAACCATAAAGTATGTAAACAGCGGGAGCTTAAAAAGGAGGTAGACCGGACAAGAGCTAAAAAGTCGGGTCAACATCAATGAGGCATAAACAATGGGGGACGCTTCGGGATCTTGGTGACCCTGTAAACTTTCTGCTGGATAAACCACTTTAACAAAGTAAGACAAGTGTCTGTAACAGAAGTGTTTCTTGTCAAACGGACCTGCTGTAGCGTGTTGTAGCGCCGCTAAACTGTCCTCCCTCGGGTCCTGGACTATGTCACTTTATCCTAGTTGTAGAAGTCCTGCAAACATTGTGTTTGCTGGTAGTCTGTTGGCATCTACAGTAGCACCAATGCTTTTTACTTTCACCTTGACTGGGCCCCATTTGTAATTATCTGAAGTATTTATCTGCATTATATCTGAATTTAATCGAAACGATACGAGCGAGCAGGAGCGTCTGTTTGTGGGCGGGGCTTGAGGGGAGAGGAGGAGCTGAGGGGAAAACTGGTTGGTAGGGGTAGAGTTTACATTTAAGATTTCTCCTAAATACTGGCACTAACTCAGATCCTGCCTACCCCACCTTTAATGCGCACTGATGTGACCAAACTCAGAGTATAATGTTTCTCCGCAGGACCCAAGAGCGGATAATTTTGGCGTTTTGACAAATACTTTATCGGGTATTTATTCCCCATCCCTCAAGGTAACACTGGATTTTCCTGTCATGAGCTCCCCTCACCTTGAACTTGTGTCTGGTACACCACAAAGTACTCGTCATTTCCGCAGCTCTCAAACTCTTCCCCGTGGCAGCGGTGCAGACACATGCCCTCGTCCTCCGGCTCATGCAGGGAGAAGAGAGGAGTCGGGAAGCCGCAGAGACATCGATCTCCCGCCAGGACAGCCAGTGATTTCTCCTGCACAGACACAGATGCCGTCACACACCCTGGAGCAGCACTCAGATTTTTTTTAAGTACAGCAGGAATGAATACACACGTCCCCCTCACCTTCTCTGTGCACATATCCACACACTTGTCCACAGACATGTTCTGGATGACGGCGCTGAGAGGAAGCGCCAGAGTGACGTTGTCAGGCCGGTGGAAACAGCCTTTGAAAATAGCGCTGCCATCTGAAACAGACGGATCAGACAGAGATGTTATTCAATAATCCACCCCAGCTCTCTATCAGCTTGGCCTCTATTCACTGACCCCTGATGAAGAGACTCCCACTGGGACTCTACACGAGCCCACACAGGCCCTGACCTGAAGCAGACTGAATAGCCAATAGTGGCACTTACACCCTGCAGTGTGTACATGACCTTTGATCTCAGGACCTTCCTCTGCTGTAATGGACAGATCATATATCACGCAGCAGGGGGGGGGCTGCTTCTCTCTTTTACAGGAAGTAAATCAATGAGATGACGTTTCTAGTTTTGATTTCTGCTATTTTGGACATTTTGGTTCTGCTCCCTCTGCACATTCACCTCTCAGACTGATTCTACATTAGTCACTCAGCCCCATGACTTTGACAAGAATGCCAAAACAACTCCACAACAGACTACAGAGCTTTTCTCTGCTGGCTTTAACCACCAGCTTAAGCTCTGTAAGTCCCACTTCGATTGTTTTTTTTTTACTATTAAAGTCTTCTCAGTGGTCGTTAAATTGTGATTATAAAGTTTTTTTTTACGAGAATCATGTTACCTGTGTCATTTTCAAGGACTTTTCTTCTGCAGAGCTCCAGCAGCTCATTTGTCTCTGAGTCATGGGCGGAGGCAGCGCTACTCTGCACACTTCTCTTCAAGTTAGCTTGTAGCCTAAAATTGCTGGTGTAGTACAAGAAACAGGTAACATAGGAGCTATTCAGCTCTCGGACACTAATGTCTTTATGATGAAAGTTAATATCATAATCAGCTTTCTTACGAGCATTGCAATCCTTGAACGCACACGCTTGTTCTGCGATTGTTCTCTCTATTTCCCCGAGTCTGGCCTGCATAGCGGGGCTTCAGGGGCGGAGCTTGAATTGTGACCTAGGAAATCTCACTGTTTTCTCAACCTGCCGTTTGGGTCTGCCAGAGTTCACAGTGATTTGAATGAAGAAATACCCAGAAAAGCAAATTTGCACTTAGTTTCCTCATGATATGTTCTGTAGCATCAGAAAAACGCCATATGAACATATAAAAATCAAGAAAAACTTGATTTTCATTGAAGTGGGTCTTAAAATAAAACAGGTTAACTCCCACTGAAATAAGCTCCAGCATGTGTGTGTGTATCTGACATGTACGAAAGAGGATTAGGCCCACATGAAGAAGCTTAAAATTTTGAGATTAGAGTCGTCATGAACAAAGTCAAAATTTCGTGAATTAAATTGATATTTCGAGATCAAAGTCAAAATTTTAAAAAGTCGAAATGAACTGCCGTAGGCTGTGGCTTAAATTTGTCGTAGCTGTCCATGTGCCAGAGCATATTGGGTCCTCGGCTTCAGTTATGTCTGCGCCTCAGACGCTGTGCTCGACTGTGCTCCACACCTTCAGGATCAATCATCTTGATCAGTTGTCTGATTGTAAATGCGATACAACACAGCCTCGCTGTACAGAATTCTACAAAGGACGTGTGGTCGTGTGACAATGCTGTTGATTCATTATTATCAATTTCAGCATTACAACTTTATTCATGAAATTTGGTCTTTATTTGCGACGACTTTAATCTTGTAATTTCGACATTAATCTTGAAATTCCGATATAATTCACTGAATTTTGACTTCATTCCTGTCAACTTTCATCTCAAAATTACGAGTTTGATCTCAAAATTTCGACTTTAATCTCGTTCCTGTAATTGTTATTTTTTCTTGCATTTATTAGACTATTATTTTCTTCATATGGCCCTAATCCTCCTTCGTAAACATGTCTTTCTAAATCAGACTCTGATGCTTCTTAGAGCTCTGTTGACTCAGACGTATATCACACATAAGACCTTTAAAGGCAAATCGTAGATTATTAATGCAAACTACCAGCTGGGTTAAATCTCTTGTGCAGGATTGTGAAGCTGTTAACTTGAACTGAAAACTGTCATTCATGTAAGCATGTTGGTCTCTAAGTGACAAAAAACACAAAACAGCCACCTCGACACATTTCCTGCATTTCCTCTTCGATGGTCCGAGCAGCTCTCACATGACAGAAATCAGGGTCAGAGGTGAAAACACAAACATGCAGCGCTTATTCAGCAGTCTGACGGGTGGCAAACAGAGAGGAAAAAGCAGAAATGAAAATAATAATAACAAACAAACAGAACCGAGCTGGACCATAAATGTTTACGCGTTATCACTAATCCTTTTTCTATGTAAGTGGATTATTTCTAAGAAGTAGAAATGGAAACAGGAAGAGGAAATCAAAGTGTGAGAATTAACAACACTTTGTGGCGGGGAGTTTTTTTTAAAGGTCTTACAGCAAGAACGGACAAAAGGGAGAAAAGTTATCTTGCATAAGTTCCTACAAACTACCTAGATTGGGAGATTACTTCCACTTCTTGTCATCATTTCTTCCTTTTCCCCTCTGTAGCAGCAGCAGCAGCAGGCAGTGAGCATTTAGGATACAAACCACGGCCTGCTGCTGGTCTGCGTAGGTAGCTAAGATCTCAGGGGACGGAAGTAAACACAACAGAGCAGCCTACTCCCAACTGCGGCGCCAACTAAAACAAAACAAATACCTCCTCCTAACAGCTGGTTCTGTTATATTTCTGGATCAAAGTGACATCTTTCTGCCTGTGAAGACGAGTCCAACAAACTCTAAAATAAGATATCTCAGTTTGGATTTTCTAAATGAATCACGGCCAAGTTATCTGTCTTAAATAATATTATATATGTGTTCCATTCGATTGAACTGGCTAGTTCTCATGTAACCCCTCACACCCTTGGTAACAGAGCAGGGGGCTGCAACCATCCTCATGAAAAATGGAAATTCATGAGGATGAAGTTGCAATTTAATGAGACAGAAGTTTTATGGTAAATCGTCAAAAACTTAAACTACTTAAACTACAGAGGCTGAAAGGAAGAACATGGATCATCTGGAGGAGTTCACTGGTGCAGAACTGTGCAGAAGCCGCCTAAACAGGTTCATGCACACTTGATTCCAAGTCCTGATACTAAAGACAGTGTAGATCTAATGTGCTTAAATATTCCTTAAACCTATATTAAAGTCTAACTTCACATGGCACTCGCGGTTTCTGCTTTTCTCCTTTAAAATAACACAGAATATCATCATGATATGTTCTGTTGATTTAGCTTTCCCTTGGTTTTGTTATGTGAGTGTATTTTCTTTGTGATTCCCCTCCCAATGTTTCTGTTCCCTAGTGTTCCTGTTCCCCTGTTGTCCAGTCTTGTGAGTTTTTAGTTTGTGTTTGACCCTGTTTCCCTCCTGTTCTCTGTGTTTTATATCAGTTTTCAGTGTTTTCCTGTTTTATTTTGATTCTCTGCGTTTCTAGTCTGATTTTACTTACCCTAGTTTTCCCTCCTTTATTAATCACCTATGATGAGTCTCACCTGTGTCTCGTCGGCCTCATCTGTTGCTCGTTTCCCAGTGTGTATATATATAGTCCCTGTCTTCCCCTCTGTCCTGGTTGGTTTACTGTATGTCTGTATATTGATGCGAACGCTTGTGTCCCCTGTTGCTCCCTGTGATTCTGCCCCAGTGATTTTTGTGATTTTTCCTCTTCTGTTGCTTTTTTCATTTTGTTCTTTAATTAAATCATTTTTTGTTCTGCATTTGGGTCTTTTTTTCTTTGTTTAACCCTGCATGTCATGAAATATAAGGGCCAACATAGACTAAAATTATGACTTTTCTCTCTCATATGTTTACAACTTCATCCTCATAAATTTGTGACTTTTTATTCTCGTGACAATAATAAATGTACAACTTCAGGCCCCATTAATATGAACCCGGTTATTTTTACGACATTAACCATCTTGCACCTTGTTTAGACACAAACGATGTGTACTGACCCCTGAAAACGATGCTTTTTAAAAACTGAAAGTGGAGATTTTGGAAAACTCTGTTTGTATGTATACTGATGAAAATGTAGGTAAACGCAGATTTGGGTAGCTGATGGCAGATTGTGCGCAGGAAAGAAAGAAGGGACGTTGTTGTTGTTGCTGCTATACATGGGCTTGAGCTTCTCGCTGCCACCCACATGTTGGATATGCTCTTGACGGCATACACGGGTTAGTGTAAAAGAAAACTTAAAAACCAAAAACGCTGTGGTGTGCACGCAGTTTTTCTTTGTAAACGCAGAGGGTACGTGTAAATGTAGTCTCAGTCTCAATATAACATCAAACTCTTTGGTGCACAGCATAGCAGAGGACGGGTGTCGATTGTTCATGTCTCGCCTCAGGTCAGTCATAAAGACGGTGTGATGAATATGGTGTGACACTGCGTGAAACCCTCGAGCAGGAGACTGGCGAGTGGTTTGTTTGTGTGTATTTCATGCTAAATACCGTTAACCATCCAGTCAGTCTGCATCTACAAAGTTGTTGTTTTGGTTTGTGCGTGTGTGTGTCTGAGGTTGAACTGTAGATCATGTGTTTTTTCAGCACATGGACACGAGTTCCTGTTCACGATCTCCAGTCATCAGTTTTCTCTCAGTGCTAAAAACTTCAGGAAGTGATCAGCAGAAATGATGGAGGCGCAAACTCCGGGGTGCCAAAATGATGACCCCCTACATGGAGCGTCATGTGGTTCATGCATTTGGGGATTGGGTGACTCACAGCGGCGTGCAGACTCCTGGCTCAGCTCCAGCCTGTAGATGGACAGTCTATTAGCTCCTCCGCACTGGTTGCTCTTCTCTCCTTTACACTCCATGTTGCATTCGCTCTCTGAAACGTTGGGCGCCTGGATTTTGTGACCGCAGTAGCACTCCGCTCCGAACTCCAGACCTGCGTACATGTAGCCTCTTTAGAGAGAAAAAGAGTGACATTATTAGAAGAGAAAGACAGAGAAGGTTGACATGATTGGATGATGGGGGTGAATATGAGAACGAAATCTTGATGCAACTCTAAAATGATACCTCTGTCTTTAGGGAGGAGGGGAGAAACTTCACACACGCAGAGAGAAAGCCAATTAATCTTACACAACCCTTTAAGTGAAAGCTGCACACAAAGTCTCCTCTCTTGATTCCCGTGAAGGATTCGACTCCCAGGAGGCTTTTTTGCATGCAATTAAACAACTAACACACCCTCCACATGAAGAAAAAGGCCCCGAGAGTAATCAATCACAGCGATGTACTGCTGCTGCCCCGCATATTTTTGTTGTTGTTGTTTTTATCAACTCCCTGTTTGTGAGGCAGATGCAGACAGGCAGCAGAGATTCACACGCAAGAGAGGGAGGGAGGTGAAAATAAGATCTCAGCTCCCATTCTGCGCTCTGTGAATCAGTGATGGGTGTAATTCAGCGTGTTCGATATAGCTACCCTAAAATCGTTCATGGGGAATAAAATGAGGGTGAGGAAGCAGAGAGGAAGAAGATAGGATGTGAGGAAAAAGGAGAGTAATGGAGAGAGGAGCAGATGGATGCAAAGAGAGCCGGAGCATACCCTTGACTTTTATGTCGTTACAGATTTAAGTCAAAGGATCGTAAATCACAAACAGTTTCAGAACGACTCGTATTTTTATGCTCTCTCTTCTGGGAAGATGAGATGCAAACACTTTCGGAGGCATAGTGCAGGTTTTTTTTGCTCCCACTCAGCCACAGAGCCAAACTGATGTTGTGCGCTGATGTTAGGCAATAAAATCTGGCTCACTGTCGACTCTCCAATTCTTTCCAGAGGTGTTGGACGCAAGCATGGACTGTCAATCAGGCAACTCAGTCAACAACCACAGGGTCCAAAAACAGGAGAAACTCAAGGAGAATCTTGTTTTTTAGAAAGTTTGTTTGGTCGCATTTCAGGGGAATTATCGGCCAAAATGATACAATGAGACGAGGATGTAAGACGCACGAGAAAAATCATTTGGACCCATCGATTACGGGTAAAATGACGGTGGCTCACTGACATCTCTGTATAAAATCGGTTCTTTTGGGATTTTAAGGACCAACTCTTCTGATTTTTTTGGATAAGTTAACACTTTATTTCCTTTTGTATTATATTTGATACATACATTTATGATACTTCTATCAATCAATACGATCAACAGATTACTAAAAAGAACACCTGAATACAGTCTGATAAATGACTTCTATCAATCAATACGATCAACAAATTACCAAAAAAGTAGTTTCAGTAGTAAGTTATTATTTATTTATTTATTACATTTTAGCTCCAAAAAAAATTTGAACTTTCTGTCCATAATTTGTGGTTTCAGACATTATAAGGTTAGGAGATTTTAACAAACTACAGGTTTGTAAGCTTGTTTATTCAAGCATCATAGGAGACTTTAAGGAAATATTCAACAAAAATGCACAAAATGAAATTTAAATAAGCTTTAAACTGAACACAGACGTTTTCCAATTTGGCGCTGCATAAATGAAGTTTGATGATTGATTTCCTTTTACTACTACTTTGCTGTTCTGCCAATTTAAACAGTTTTAATGATTTTAAATTACATTTTGATATTTTATTGATTTTAAGATGTCTTTTTGATTTTAAATTGCTTTAATCTCTTATTTTTTCCCAATTTCTTATGTATTTCCTTGCATCTGTAAAGCACTTTGAATTGCCTTGTATGGTGTATGACTGGTGCTCTATAAATAAACTTGCCTTTGAAACTGAAGCTCTCAAATATTTTAATTACTTACTTTATTTACTGACCTACTTAAGTTAATAAATACCTTTAATGATGTAAAAACACTAAAGAGTGTAGAAATCAGATATCCAAACCAGTCGTATTTAATCTGATGGGCCTGTTTTTGGTGTTAATGCATCACTGACTTTATTTCAGTTCCTTATAAACTGCTATCTTATGAACCCATATCTTATAATATGCAGAAAAATTTGAATAATTATTTTTTACAGATGATTACATATTCAAAGTGTTTTATGTTGTAAAATCAATATAAATATATCTATATAAATATAAAAAAGTTTAAGTAAAAATGTCTAAAAAATGAACAAACTCAGACTCAAGTGGAGAGTAAGTGTTGCTAATAGTCATTAAAACACTGCATATGTAAATAAAACAGGGTTTATTCCATCGCTGAAGATATTAGTGAGAAGATTTGACACTGGAGTCGGCTGTCAGGTGGTAATCCTGCCCAGAAAAAAACTGTTCAAGAGCACAGACACAAAGTGGTCCCCGAGGGTTCAGAGAAATCCTCATATTTTTCTTCATAACAGACCAGACTGTCCATGTTTGGAGAGTTCAGGCAGCAGCCATGACTGCAGGCCAGTTTTTCCACAATCAGCTCGAAAAAACATCTTTCTGTTGACCTGAGGTTAGTCGTGATGTTTGAGCCGAGTAAATGTGGAGGGTTAGAAATGTATTGTGTTTAAAGTATATACACTGCATTGGTGAGATCATCCTATTTTGATTCAAGGTCTGTGCGAACAAAGAAACAGCAGCCCAGATGTGCTGACATACAGTATCTACGGTCTTTTAATGTGTTCTGCTGATCGGTAATCTGATTTTGTTTTCAGCTGTAATAAAACTGATGATGGACGTAATCTCGCTTTAAGGTCCATGTCAACAGTTACTGGGGCTTCAAATAACCAGTAGGTCACATGATCATCATAAGCTGATATATGGTTGCCATGGTGACGCGTGAAGATGTCCTAGTTTGAATTTGTCTGGGCGACTTTTGTTATATGTTGTTTAAACAATCGACAAACAAAATTTGAGGAATGGGGTATGAAGAGTTTTTTGTTTTTCTTCTCCAGGTTTTTATTTTCAGTGTTATTTAGATAAAAAACACATCATGTCAGTTTTATAATATGTGATCGGCACGTATCTGTGCATCAAACGTCTGATCAGACTGGCTCTAAAAGACAGGGAGTCACTCCTAGACCAGTGTGTTTAATTTTCACATTAGTTCCTTCAGTGTTGCAGAAGAATAGGTAAGACCGAAGACAACTAGGGATGACATATCAGGGGTGAGAGCTTTTTGTTGTTCGCTGCTTTCATACCTTTCTGCACAGTTGTCCTGGCAACGAAATATAGTCATTTTTTTGTAGTCGAAAAAGGAAACTCCTCTCAGCGCTCTCTTCTGAGTGTCGTCGACGTAACAGCCTATGTATTTTGCTGAAACAGAGAAAATAAAAATAAGTTAGTCATGTTGGCACATATTAAAATAAAGTGTGTAATATTAGGGCACGTTTTAAAAACACTCGTTTTACTGTAAACCAGTGTTAAATTAACCACTTCCCTCTGCATTATCTCCTTCATTTTCACAGTGAAGTGTAAGAACGCACAAGGAGTCCAAACTGGGGCAGGAGCTTTATTTATTTATAAAGACACACATCCCCTTCTAGTGGCCTGTTACTGTAGTGGCAGTCATTTCGCTGCATTAATTCACAAGTGTGTGGGGGGTTGGGCTTCAGTGAACCTCTGCAGAGGCAGCAACCCTTCAAACAGCGTCGTCCCTCCCATGAAAACAAGACTCCCCTGTTAGATCAGGCTCTACTGTACCTTTAACAAACAAACCTGTCACCATCTGCGCTCTGCCATTACCCCTCTGAGCCTCTGCTAACAGCTCAATGAGTCCTCGGCCCCTGCATTACTTTAATTGTCATGGTCAAAAGGCCTGCATTTGTGCAGCATGTGGTTTGCTGCAGGACAGTAATCTTCTTCCTAACAATTGTTGAGCTGGAAAATAATCTGCTTTACCATGTAGGGAAACCCTGATTTAAATAGAGCTGCTGCTTCATTTCGCAGAACATATTCCTGTTTAGTAAGAAGAGATTGAAACAGCATCTGAAAATAGTGTATACATGTTATTATTGGCTGGGCTCTTTCATACTTTCAATGCACAATAACCTCCCGGTATTATGCGCAACTTATGTCAAGTACACCTCTGCTTCAGTCTTTCCCCGGTCGACTGCTGCCTCCCCTTCATTACAGTACACCTCCTCGCTCCTGCAGCACTCAGTGCAAGTGTGTGTATGCGCTGCAGAGTAAATCTCATGCTGCAATGTTCTCTTGAAATTACATCCAGAGCCAACAAGAAGGCGTGTCTGCACAGGACCGGGAAGAAAAAGGAAACTATAGAAGCATTAAGATGGGTTATATGGTCAGGACTGCAGAGTAATGAGTGGTGTAGACTGAGCGAGAGAAAAAACGGCTTTGAATCTGCTAATTAGTCAATTATCACTTTTTGCTGCAGTCCTGGGAGGTTGCAGCTTCAGAGGAGGTGGACTGAGAACAGATTACCCAGAGCCTGAATGTTCACTGCAAATATGTTTGTTCTCCTGGCCTGAAAACAAAAGCTTGACTCTGTTCAAAGAAACATATTTCTGTAATACTGAACATTTCTGTGCAGCAGGGCCCTGCGCTGTAGTGAGACTGAGCTCCTTTGTAATAGAATCACTTATTTATTTTCTCCGAGAGGTTGGCGTCTGTCCCAGACTACAGCAAGTTAAAAAATGAGGAAAGCAGTCTCCACCTTTCGCTACATCTCACACCCCAGACTGGAGCAGCCGCCACTCACATTTATGTCCCATATTAACCGAGTTTAGATTCTCCACCCGGCTGTACTGTTCACTGGAGGGAAACAAGAAACCCACAGTGGAAAATCTGGGAGTTATTCATTGTCATTCACTCTCTGTTTAAAGATTGATTTGAACAGAGGCGGCTTTTATCTGACAGCCGTGAAGACTGCAGCGCTCACTTTGCAGATAAAACTTAAAAACGAACAATCAATCTACTAAGACGGGGAATAATTCATGCAGTAATTTACATGATAATGCACATGTGGAAATAATCTCATATCAAATAAAATGTAGATAAAACATTTCACTCTAAAAGACAGAGGGATCAGTCATAATCACCACATCTCAGCGCCTCAGAGAGATTTCCTCCTTGTGGTCGCGGTTTTTCACGTGAACTCGTTTGTAATCAGAGATTTCTTTAGATCAATATCTTATTACCGTGAACTGTGTGCTTCCTGTGTGCTTGTCACTGAGTGTGCATTATAAATGAGCCTGTTCTTTAAAGTTTTAAGTGCTTTTTATTTATTAATTATTATAATCTAAAAGAAATAGCAGCGGGATGATGTCCTAACAAGCATTTAAAGGATTTTTGCACGATGAGTACTCATCAATTTTACAGCTACAATTGTTGGCATGTCTTTTCATCATTCCTCCATTAAAAATTTAGTTATCCTCGCACTCAATTCTGCTCCCGCTGTTTTCTCCTCTTTTATTCCTTTTAATGGTATTTTTGATTATAAATCGTTTTCATCTCTTTTTTATTTTCCAATGTATTTTCTTGTATCTGTAAAGCACTTTGAGTTACCTTGTGTATGAATGGTGCTTTACAAATAAACGTTCATAGAAACACTAAGAACACTGTTTATTATTCCCTGATTGGTTTTTAAAGTTCGATGTGATCAAGTTTACAATGTTAACTCAGAAACTCTCTGCATGTCTCACCTCTCCCATCGTCCAGGTCTTTGGCATTGCGTCCTTTAAGTGCACGGTTCCAGTTGCTGGTGTAGTCTCCCCCCCTGCGCACCGCCTCTCCATCATGCCTCTTTTTCATCCACGGGGGGCCGTACCGTCTACCAGACCTGCGCGTCTCCTTAAACACTCGACTCATGATGCTGAGCCCCCGGGTGTCTGACGAGGAAGTCCCTGAAGCTACCACAGAGTCCCGGCCCCCTCTGCCTCCTGAGCTGCTGTCCCCCACGAAGCCAGAGTGGAGGAAGACGAGGCTCCCAGCTGTCAGGTAGAGGAGGATGAGGGAGAAGAAACGGACAGGTTTCCTGCGGAAATAACGCTGTATCTTCAGCAGGGGTTTGGCCATGTTGGCTCCCTCTGCCACTCAGACACACTCCCCCTGTGATATAAACTCATAAAGCAGAAGAACCAACGCCCCACAGCCCAGCTGGGCCCAAAAATTGAATGGAAAAAAAGTTAGATAAGTGTCTTAATCCTGCGTGGAGGTCATCCAAACAAAAGCATGACTCTTCCCTCAAACATGCCTCCTCAGTCTCCTGAGGAAGATCTTCACACCTGTCCTCCTCAGCGCAGCTCAGCTGGTCTCCACAGTGTGAGTCTCTCTGCTTTGCCGCTGACAGTCAAGCCCTGAGACCCGGCTCCTGGGCTGCAGCATGAAAGGTGAGTGGCTCAGAGTGAAAGATGATCGCTCAACACTGCTTTCATTCCAGTTATCAGCCTACAGAGATGCCACATCGGCACAGCAGTGGCACTCTCTGCAGAAGAAGAGGGTTTTATTCAGCAGCCAAGCCGAGATCCTTGCGCCTTTGTGCGTCCGACTTTTCAACAAACAAGGAAAGGGAAGGCGTGACTCGCCATCTGTAGTAAAGACACACACAGAGAAGAGAAGAATAAGCGTACACCTGAGTAAGCTTTATCACAGGTGGTAACAGAGAAAGAAGATGAGCAGATTACAGAAGAATAAAGTTTGCTGATACACATCTCAGATTTTCTTAAACAATGCAAGACATGTCATCAGAGCTGCAGAAAACGCCCATATAACTTAATCATCGGAAACACCTGCGGCCTGTCAGACTTCATAAATCAGAGCTCAAGTTAAGCAAAGATCACACGGACAAAAAATAAACTCATGTTTCCGACACAAAGAAGTCAGAAAAGCTTTAGAGCAGAAAATCAAAGTTCAATATTTTCTTTTATAACTGAGATTAAGCTCAAAGGCAAAAACAAGAAATCTTGCCCTGCGGCGTTTTCACTGAAGCCTTTTGGAATTTATGTGGGGGATGTAAAACGGCTTAATAACGATGATTTAAAGTGATGATAATTAGGATGAATGTTGGACAAGAAAAGAGGAAACGCGCTCACTTGGAGAAGGCAGAGGTTAAATACTGAATAAAGTCTGCACATGCGTTCAAAAGTCGAGGATTTTACTCTGTTTACTTCATTTTCCTGGACGTCTGAGTCAAAACTTCTAGATTTCTCAGGAGCCCCACTCAAAGGACTCTCTGTTCTGGGACGGGCCTGCGGGGCTACAATTGGAAAGTGTAACGCAACACTCCTCGGGGTCAGGGAATTTTCCCCAACTTTGGAGGGGACACTCGCCCTTGTGGCTCTCCGTCTGCTCCGGGACAAATCTGCAGAATACTCGTCACCTGACACCTCAGTGGCACCACACAGACCCCCTTCTTGGCTCTGTGCCACCCTTCTTTTTTCCTTCCAGGAGTCTGGGAAGAGTCTAGGACCCTCAAGGAGAAATGGATCACGTTCGGCTCATAAGTCTTTCCTGGCAGACAATCCTCATCCTGTCTGACTTCTCAAACTTAACCTCATCGTCCTGTTTTGGTAACTTATTTCACTCAAAATAAACCTGTTGTTGTGTTTACATGTACGTCATATACTTCAATTCATAAAATCTGCTTTTTTTGTGGTGCAGGACCATGTAAAACTCGGCTCACTCAGCTTTATACATAGGAAACAGAGTGATATCAAGTGTCTAATCAAGCTTTTGGCAGGAAAACAGATAAGCACATTTCCCACACTTCCTTTAATCACTTCTGTCTGAAACTCAATACATTATCACTCCCACAGAGCGGCCTCCACCGGGATCACAAATAAATGATGTTGCATAGTTTGATAAATGCTCATATTTATTTCAGCAGCTCAACAGCTGTATCAACAGTATCGAGAAGTTCCTCCCAAACACTTCTCGATCTGGTGCCAAGCTGTTTTTCAGCCCTGAGTCAATATTTTGATCTTTGCTGATGGAGAATTAATTCGCATTTCAGGACAAGTGAGATGGCGAAACTCTGCGTGCTTCTATCTTGAGCTGAATAATTTGTTTGCATGAGAGAGATCACATCTAGGTTAGGTTTCCTTAAGGGGTTAAAATGTCTTAACAGAAAAACAAAGCTGCATATCTCAACATGCCTCCTACTCGTGACTCACCATGGAGGAGAAACAGTATCCTGGAAACAAGTCGTGGCCTCTTGGTGGAATTGAAGACCTGTGCAAAGATAAACAAGAGAGCATTTTAGAGATTTACTGGATGTGCACCATCATAATACAGTGGAACAGGTTGTTTTCTGCCCTAAAAAGACGGTAAAATGCTGTATGAGGCTGAACAGATGGAGGTAATGACATCAGGACACAGAGCATGTGACAGCCTCACACTCACACACACTGCCTCACACATTAAGTATGCAACAGGGCCACACACAGTGTAATTCTTGGTGTTAATTATTTATATCTCCCTTTGCAGGTTCAAATGACAGTAACAAGATTGTGGATTGAATCTCGCAGAAACTGTATAGTCTTTATATTGTACGAGGTAAAAGGAGACAAGTCGACGCCGTCACACTAGCGGCTCGGTGAAACTGTAAACTTACAGTGATGCTTTCAGCTGAATGCAAACAAGCTGCCCATGGCGTGCAAACAGGGGGAGCTCAGGGGATTAAATATTTAACATTTCCAGTATGGTACAGCATGCTAATATCTTAACTGTGCATAAAATGATGACAAAAACAAAGCACAGCTGCTGCTGATGCACTTTTATCCTTTAGTGTTACTAGTATTAGAACATGTGCAAAACTGCACAACTCAGCGATTCTGCAGAAAAACCCTGTTTGTTAAGACTTGGCCTCAGAACCAGGAGATAACAAGTTCAAGTCCTAGTGTAGACTTAAAGGTTCCCTATTATGAAAAATCCACTTTTGGATGGTTTTCTACCAATAATATGCATCCACTCAAAGCCAACATGAAAAAATTTCTCTCCCTCGCTTGCTCTCCCCTCCGTTCTGAAAACATGAGCGCAAACGGGCGAATAGAAAAGCTGTGTGTTTATGACGACATAACCGCATAAGCCTCTCCTACATGTTGGTGGCACTGCCCCCGATAATCATTAACCCAGCCCTCGAAAGCTTCTTCGCTGGGGAAGCTTCGGCCATTGTTTCCCCTCACGTACGCCGCTCCAGTACAGCAACCATGTCGAAGCTACGACCCAGGAGTCCATTTCTGCCTCCATTGTTGGAAGATTTGAGGACCCAGTGGATTAATTTTACTTTTGATGGAAATGTACCCACAACAACTCCGAAAATGTTGTATGTGTGTGCTAACCATTTCACCTCGGACTGTTTTACCAATGAGGGGCAGTTCAAAGCAGGATTCGCCAAGAAGCTGAAGATAAAACCTGGATCCGCACCGACTGTCCGTGTCAGGGACCCAACTTCAACTGTGGAAGTTATAAATTTTACCATTTTATGTTGCTTTACAGCCGCCCGTATGACTAGTACTTTGGCTGCAATCATGTGGTTACACACAGCTCATTATCATTTAAAGGTACAGGCGCAGAATCAGCCCGGGGGGTACAGGCTGGCTGATATCCACAGATAAACTGGTGTTTTAGACAACAAACCTAAAAGTTACTATTATTGAACCTCTGGGACTGATTTAAACTTGATGAAAAATGCCATAATAAGGGACCTTTAAGGGTGTGTTTTAGACTGGTTGCTGCAGATGTGCCCACGAGCAAGACACCAAACTCCAAACTCCTAAGAATGCCGGTCCATGTGTAGCCCCCTCACAATACATCTTAAAAGCATCTGTTTCTGTGCATGTGTGTATCCCCTCCTCTTCCTCATTGCTAAAACCAGCTGCATTATTGCAATTCCTCATTATCAGGCTGACATAATCAGTCTACTATGTCACCAGCTGGTCCAAAACAGCGCTGCATCTGACAAGAACGAGTGAAATAGATCATATTTTTTTAAACCGTAGCTTCTCTACCCTGGGCCCCCTATAATAGCTAGGATAACATTTCAACGTCTTATCCAAAAAGCTCCAAATGATTGGACATCATGCCTGGAAAATGAATGTTGCTGTAATATCTCTCTAGAGAGTCACTCTCCCAAACATCAGGTAGTCTAAGCGTCTAAAAGTATTATGGAGGTTGTTTAGAAACAAATAGTAAGGCTTCACAAACTAACTTGTATTGCAGTATTCACAAAACAGATTGAGTCCATTGATAAAAAAGAGCTTAAAAGATGGTAAATGTACAATAAACAGTACAGTGCGTGTAAACAGTCAGATGGAGGGAGAGGAAATTCCACTGACAGGAGATGGGAGGTACAAAAAGCACAGAAGGCCATGTGCCAAATCATGGCAATTACTGGAGTGAGGCAGACATGAACTCCCTGACTGACCATTAATTCACATTCATATTAAATGAGCCAGCAAATATCCAATCAGAGCGGATTTAGGGGAGGAAACGTCAAAGTTAATCTTTGCTAAGCAGACCGACAGCCAGCTCAGCTTGTGCCGCGGGCAAACAGCTCCACCAGTCGATCCATAAATAATGTTCATATCTGTCCTGGGACTCATTGACCAAGGACAGGCCTGAGCAAGAGACAGCTATGGTCAAGCATGTGACACGTATCCAGTTCAGAAACAACTGTTGGCAAGATCGAATAGTGTTATATTAGAGAATATAACACGATAGAGATGAATTTTAACTATAAATAAAGACAGAAACCTTCTCCTCTCAGACATTTTTACGACTTTAAACTAAAAACAGATGTGATCAATTCAAGCTCCCCTGTCTCTTGATAGCAAATATAACATTTTTCAGTGTAACATGGGTGAGGCTTTTAAAGTACTCGACCTCAAACCTCTGGTCCAAATCCCCCTAGCTGAATCAAATTAGTTTCATACACTCCCACGGTTCACAATAGGGAGTTTCTTGCAGTGGTAAAAGTCAGAAAAATCCAGGTAACAACAGATTAGTGAAAATATTAGTGACGTTGTGTTAGATTTACACCAAACCCACCAATGAAAGTGTAGTAAAAGTGAGTCTCTGAAGGACAGGATGCATTATTGTGATAACCAAACAGCAGTCAGAGATAACAGAGGCAGGAAGAAAAGATTATCTAAATGCACGAGGACAGGAAGACATTATCCCGCTCCCTGTTTGTTCAACACGCACACAAAGTTAACTTCAGAGTTGTTTTGTGGTTCAGCAGCAGGAGAAGGGTTAACAGGGTTTGCAGCAGCAGCAGCAGCAGCAGCCCTGACCCTCCCCTCACCCTGGGGCCTGTCTTTCCGCCCTCCTAGTGTGTTTGGCCTGCCAGTACGCATTAGCTGTGTTTGTCAAATCAAATCTAACTGAAGATCACATTCCTCCCCCGGTGATAACATTGGCAACGCTTGCTTCAAGTTTACAGGGACTGCTCTGCTGCATCCCGCTACAGAGTTATCTGATGCCTCATTAAAGTTCAGAAGAAAACTCAAGAGCACCAGAAAACTGCAGAGTTGATGAGTGCACCTTACAAAAAAAAGACTAAATCCATAGTTTCTATATGATATTTACGCATTAGACTATAAAATGTTTGCACCACCACGTAAAAGAGAGGGTGCAGATGTGAAAATAGCAAAAAGTTTTACAGACTTTTGCATTCTGGAGAAAACTCTGCATGTAAAACTGAGAAATCTCAAAAAAAAAAAAAAGGAGAAAAAAAAAAAACAGCGAGAGGCTCAATTTTTTCTGCTCTGCAGAGCAGATTCAAGCATCTCTCTCAGCCCAGATAGCAGCTCTTAAGAGCACATGACCCCTAAAAACTGGAGTGTGAACATGACTGCTCCCAAAAATAACAGGATTACACTGCCAAAGCAGTTTTCTTTACTTGGTGTTTGGCAGAAGTACCCGCGGTATGTGCTACAGTTTCAGCCCCACACTTCTCTCTCAGCCATTTCATCAAATCTGGGCTTCATCATCTCAGTGTTTGTCCGCATTAGTGATTGGCTTAATGCCTAAAACACTAAACTCCTGATAAAAAAAGCACATCAGCAAAGACTTGAACATATTGTAAAGTTTAGATTGTCCACCTTCAGTGCGAAGTACCAGATACAACCTGAAAATAAATATGGTATTATTTGTTGTTAGTTTTACATAATTATCAGATTTATTTTTAGTTTATTTGAACACGAAGCTTTTGAACTAAGTGGGTCATATCTAGAGTGACCATATTCTGAATCACGACTACACGGGGGCGGAGTCACAGAGTCGCACATGATAAATTTTGAGAGTTTTCGGATCGGCTCAAGTGGTTTTTTTACGCGCTTTTAACTCAGTAAGTCCATGCGACACAAACTCAAAACTTTCATACAAAACCGCGGACATGTGAGGGATTTTACCCACTGAGCAATAGATGGCCATTAGACATCTAGTTTTCTTTTTAGACAGTTTGACCTCTGATAGCTGGTGAGTCTAAACATGGTCTAAGTTTAGACATCTAAAAACACTTTCATTTTTAGACCTGTGGTAGCCTGATTTTAGACCAGCCATCAAGGCTACATTGAGACGTCTGTTTCTCTTTTAGACCAAAAATTGCTCAGTGGGTATAAACTCACCCGGACAGCCTGGACAGCCCCCCAAAAAGAGGACATGTCTGGGTAAAAGAGGACATATGGTCACCTTAAAGTCATATCTAAACTCTTCTCTCTTCGTTTATTTAAGTTGTATATTATGAATACTCTATGAGGTGAGATTAACCTTACAACCCCACAGGGTTTTCTAAATCTCACCTGCACAAAACGTTTATGTTATAGTTTTCAAATGTGTTGTTCTTTTAAATGTGCAAATAAATAAATAAATATATCTAAACGTCTGAAGTACAAATAAAGCCTATCCACACTTTTGTAATGAAAAGACAAATTCAAATCTCATTAATTTAAGCCGAAACAAAAAGAAAAGACAAACACCCCGACTGCTGACGGTGTAAAGTAAAACAGGCTGTTTTTGTTGTTAAGTTAGTATTTCTGTTCAAATTCTGAATGGGCCTTTAATGAAGGGATTATTATATAAATGCTGTCATGATATGATTGTTCTCTTTAATCCTTTTTGTTACACCCTCCTAATGATGATTAGAAATACTGGTGCGCGCGCGTTGAGGTGGTTGAACAGACCAATCACTGAAGGGGTTTTTAAGTACACCCCATAAAGCTTAAAAATTAAGCTTAGGATGGCAGGGAAAAAGCTCATTGTAATCCAGATAATACTCAATGGTCCATTAAGCTCAGTGGTGACCTTTTACTCTAGAAGAGAAGAGGTAAATTAAGGGGTCTAAAAATAATGTAATCCCCCTCTGTGACTGAGCCACAGTAACTCTAAGCTTTGCATTGTAATTGAGTGACTGATGATTGCGAACGATTCCCCCAGTACACACCGCCCAGCAAGTAGCACAGTGTGGAAGAAAGGAATGAAGCTCCACTGTCACTGTGGACACAAAAAGACAAAATCTGGACATCATTGCATCAAAAAATCTGCATCAGCATTTGGACTTCTTCTTAATTGGTCAGGCAGCGTCAAGTCTGTCGGTAAATCTGGAGGAAGAGAGAAAGGAAAGTGCTGAAACGAAAATCTTTGAGCCAGCAGCAGAAAAGACAGCCCCGGAGCTAATGATGTGTCAAAAAGTTCAGAGCGGGGAGAAGAAATATGCCTCATTCCTGTTTTGAGAAAACAAGACCCTTCCTCTGTCTGTGTGTGCCACTCCCAGATCCCAGTTGGCCACGACGAAGGACATTTGAGGAACAATCACTTGAATCTCTTCTCTTTAAAAGCTTCATAAAAGAAGTAATTATTCTGCAGCAGGGAGGCGCTGTCAATGGGAGATCAAATGATGTCTTCAACTATCCAACCTTAACAAAGCTCTTCATTCAGGGCCTTACAGAAAATCTGCAGTTCAGTTTTTGTTCAGCGGAAAAGAGCTTTTCTCCCTCTCTCTTTTTTTCTCCCACCTTCACTAAGCACAGAAGATCTCTCTGCTTTAATTAAAAGCGGATTCTCGTGGCTCTGTTCTGCCGCGAATCTCACTCCTCTCTGCTTGAATAGACTTAAGAGGGGATTGAGGAGAGAGTCAGAAAATGTTTAATACTGAGGAGACAGGAAAGTAGGAAATACTTCTCTGTGGAGCATATGGAAGTTAAGTTGTTTGACAAAACAGATACGGATCCCTTTAAAACCTCAAATCGACAAAGGTACAGATAAAACCACCTAATGATCAGACTCCGTGTAGTTTAGTGGACTTATCTCAGAGAGGAATAAGTTGTTAGGGCTGGGCGATATGGCCTCAAATCAATATCATGATATATTGATCAGTTCACCTTGATAACGATAAATGGGTGATAACTACTCCACAAGCTGCTCACCCCCTCCCACATTAACTTCGTCTACTTCAGCCGCTCCAACTCTTGAACTGACTGGATACAGACTGGATAAGGTGGAGTCACGTCTCTGATGTAGGACAGTGTCTTAAAGGGACATGAGACCATAGCCTACCTACACACCTCCAAAACAAACTTTTATGTATCCATTTTTTTTGCACCAATCCATTTTTTTTTCGATCCAATCCGATACCGATGTCTGGGCTGAGCATATCGGCCAATATCCGATACCGATCTAATACTACTATTGAAATGAATGAACTGTTTACCTCGCCCTGTGAGTGAAGGCATCAGGCTTAACAAAATTAACACAGATATAAATTTACTTACTATTATTTATTAACAAATACCGTATTTTTCACACTATAAGGCGCACTTAAAATCCTTTTGGCTTGTCGGAGCTCTGCAGCTACCGTAGCCTCGCGGAGTTATTGAATGAGTTAAATAAAGTTTGACTTATCTGACTGTTTTGTTTGGCTTAATGCGCTTTATAATCCGTTGCACCTTATGTATGAAAATAGACGCGAATAGAGGCGTTCATTGATGGTGTGCCTTATAATCAGGTGCGCCTTATAGTGCGAAAATTCGGTAAGACTTCAATGTATTAAAAGAAAAATTAATTTAAAAAAAAAAAGACTGGATCAGAACGCTGGATCGGCATCATTCATCCGGTATCCAATCCAGCTGATTTGTCATTATTGGAGCAGATATCGGATTGGTGCATCCCTATTTTTTTCACACCAAATACACTGACATGGGCAAAATGGTGTCGGCTATTGTCGTAAATTTCGGTATCAGTGAATTTTCAGTTTATCAGTTGTCACCTCTGTCCTTCTTTATCACACAGCTCTTTCTGTTCTTCTTGGATAGAGAGATGCGCAGAAACACAGTCCAGCACTCTGCAGTGTAGCGCAGTGAGGAGGGGACACGGACCCTTTACTGTAAGATGCACATTCAAGCTCCCGTGTCAACAAGCTCCTACTCGGCTGAAGTGTCCTTAAGCACGGATCCTCCAGCTCTGTTGTTCTGCGGCTAACCCTTCACTCTGACCTCCTGCCATGAATGAAAAATGGAAATAGTGTGACAAGCTGCCTTAAATTACCGACTGATATTTCTCTGCCAAAGGCGTGGACCGCTACAGTTAACGCTCTGAAGACAGTTGAGATGAAGTGACTTTGTTCCTTTTCAAATCAGCAGTATTGACAAAATCTCACTTCCTCTTTGCTTAGCTCTTCTCTTCCCTCCTTTGAGAAAACCGCAATGTGGTTTCACAGGCTTGTTTTCAACTCGGCTGAACACTACATTCGCCCTCTGACTCATTGCTCTATATTGCACTTTTAGCGAGCTGTCAACTGATTTAATGTTAACGATTTGGACCAATGTCTATCCTTGACGGTTAAATAAGACTGTGTCGGTTTAAGCTAGAAAAAAAAAAGAAGATTACAGAGGCTACTTAGGATGTTGTCTGGAGCAGAGGAGGTGATCCTGCAAACAGTGCCTCATGCTGGGATCACTTCAGACAATATCCCAAAACTGCAGGCTGTCATCTCAGCATGAAGCCCAGAAAACAGCAGGTATTCAGGCAAACAGGCGAGCGCTTTGTATCCACCAGAAAAGAAAAACAGATGTAATCAAATTTATCAATTTAGAAGTTGTGTGATATAAAACGATCATAGTCCAATGAGAGGATGAGCGTCTGAGAGTAAATATTCAACTCAGTTTATCAATAAAGATTCGGTACAAACTAGCGAAAGAGTTGACTGTAAAATAAAGGGGGAAACCACCTAAAACGGTGAGTTTCACACTGTTAGTCACAACAAAGCAAAGAGTATAAAGCAACTAGAGCTGTTTGGAGTCATGACAAAAATCTCATTTTCTCTCCACAGGAAAAACACTCTATTAGTATGCAGTCTATACCGCAGCCACCACCTCCACAGCACCGAACCCACAGCAGAAACAAAACTACTCTCTGACTTTATCTTCCTGCTCTCTATAATATAAGAAGACTGGGAGGATTGTCTGTCACCTCCAGTGCTGCTGTGCACAAGCTAGTTAGCCGTTTCTGATGAGCTGTTCAATGTGCACAATCACGCTGGGCGCAGTGGTCTGGATGCGTTTATTTGAGGAACATGAAGCGTGTATGTGTGGTAGGGCGCTCTGTAAGCATGCCTTGCAAAATGTGTACTCAACCGTGGGCCTCATCGGGATCACGCAGATCTGCCTGTAAAGGTCGAGCAGCACCAGAGGCCGGCTGTCAAACTATCCTGTCCAATTAGATGCCAACATCATTAGGGGGGCCTTGTTGCTCAGACGGCTATTTTAGGAAACCGTTCTTGTTGTTGTTGTTGTTGTCGTTGAAGTTGTTTATGTTCCCGTTGTCCGTCCCAGCAGCGCTCCATCGGTGAATAACGTGTTTAAGTCTTTGCTGCTCTACTTGCAGTATACAATGGATGTCATTATGATGATGAGTGGGTTATTAATGTTTGGCTGCATATATCGAGTATGCATGTGTCCACGCGTAGGAGGAAATTAATGCATATTAAATTCTGACACCATTTTTAGATTTTTCACTCTTTTTTTCCTCACAAAGATTTCTATTCTGAGGCACCAGGATCAGTCCATCCACGAGCAAAGAGAAGATCCCATTTGCCAAATTCAAAGCTTGACATGTAGAGCGATATACTACTGTTTCTGATTTTCATACATTGCTCTTAATTCCAGGAGGTTTTCACAAACGAGCCCATCCTCTGTACCCTGAGTCCTTCATCCATGTACATGTGCACACAAGGGAGCAGTGCGGTATGCTATTAAATGTGCCTGCATGCTGTGTGTGTATAGAAGTAGAAATGGGCAAAGCATCTGGGGATTCAGGCTTTCTGACAGCTGCCTGCTTTGGGCTCGCAGGAAGCAAAGAGCCTGCAGCCTCTGCTAAGATGAATAAAATATGACGAGCATGCACAAGTGTTTCTCTGTTGATCTGATGCAACGTAGACAACATCTCAAAAGCAATGGGGGGAAAGCACGAGCTGGCTGTCACTGAAAACAACAAAGGCAGATGACAGAGAGGTGCTCAGTGATCTCTGTAAAGGATACCTGCACTTCAATCTAATGTGGTTGCGGTTGAGGTAGCTCAAAGGCAGAGTTCACACATGCCCCAGAAACATATTTTTGCACTTCCCTTTGGTGGCATCTTGACATGGTTTTATGTGCAGAGGTTCTCAATTGCAAACTTAGAGAGAGACTGTCTTCTGTAGAAAGTTGCTCCAAGAAAAGCTGTCACTGTCAGTTCTGAGGATTTTCCTGAATAACTGGGACATTATTTATAGAAAGACGAGAAGCTGACGATTTCAATAATCTGAGCCCTCACGAAACAAAGATCCCCACCCTTTATTTTCTCTAAACTTTAGACGTAAATCTCAATTCCTCTGCAGATTAGACCGCATAAAAAACAGATCCCGGTAAATGCTAATGGATAATAGGACTGTGTGTGATTTGAATAGCAGCGGTGAGTGGCTGTCTAACATGAGTCTGGTCCTGCTCAAGGTTTCTGCCTGTTAAAAGGAAGTTTTTCCTTACCAGTGTCACTCATGTTAGATGAGATGGGCCAAATCTGTCCTATCTCAAAGGCATGGTTGACAGTTGGAGAGATTGGTAATTATTATGAACCTCGTTTCTATGGCGATCATGGTCCTATAGTGCGATCTCCACAAAGTGAAGAAAAAAAAAAGAATGGAAAAAATCTGTTCACCCTATCAGGTGCAGAGCTGCGAAAACATTGACCAATGAGAGCCAGCCGTCCCGGACAGCTCGTATTGGTCAATCTCCTGCTCCGCCTCTCCATCCAATCACCTCGCTGTATTGGACACACCCCTCTCCTGTAGTTCCGACTCGTCCTTCCCATTCCTCCGGCCCTCCTCAGAGCTCTGAGCGGCTAAAAGTAGCGTAGCAGCTTAGCTACAGGAGCTGTGATGAAGAAGGACGCAAAAAAAAAAACACTTCTGCTCGCCCCACCGCCAAAAGTGGGAAGAAAACGCAAGCTGACAGAAGAAACGGTGGAGACAAAGAGGAAATGTGACTAAACGAGGAATCTAACTCGAATAAACCTCAGGTCATCCTTCGAGCGGGAGAGAAAGCTACACCAGAGATGGGCCTGAAAACAGACGCCAAGACAGCAGAGATTTTGTTGAACAGGTAATTTTTATCGCCTTTTATCGTGGCACATGTTACATAAGTAACTCTTATTAGACTCTGCAATGTCAACACGATAGCTGTCCAGGCAGCTGCAGACGGCGCTTGCTAGCATAGCTGGCGTTTACTGCCGCTAGTCACTAACAATCCGACATGGTGAATCTGACATAGGATCTTCTGCTGGCTCTACTGGAGGGGGGGTGTCGTGAGGAGGGCGATACGGGTTTGGAGGGGAGTTAGAGTTAGGGTTAGGGGTGGGATGCTTTTTTCAAATCTGCCTCAGCGGCTCAGTTTTTCCCAGCTGCTTCTCCAATCGTCAACTGTGCCTTTAAAAGTTGGGTCTTGATAATTCATCAAACAACGAGCGTGGTCTTGACCTGCTTTTTTTTGGAAAGCGTCTTGGGATAACAACTGTTGTGATTCGGCGCTATATAAATAAATTTGATTCCGTTTGATTTAAAAAATAGAAATGTTCAGAGCATACTCTTTTTGTTTTCTGTAGCAGATTATCAAATATTTTGAACTCCATGAGGAAAACTGTTTTTTCTAAAGAGGCACACTGAAGGGGTAGTTGCTCATCTTATGGAGCAGGGTTGGGCTGGGATGTCAGTCATACATGAAGTTTGGACCAACCACAGAGTCTAACAGAGCAGATAATACAGCCAGCGCTCTGGCCTCAGCGATTCAGACAGACCATGTTAAGTCGCTGCGGTTGACTGAGTGAGAGGGTTGAACCGGGGAGTCAGTGAAGCGCTGAACTCGAGCCCAGGCTGAGTCATCCGGCCCTGGAGCAACCTGGGAGAGACATCTGCACAGTCAGTCACCAAGAGAGAGAGCGGAGGTGATGCGGGTTGACAAGGCATGGTGACTGGCTCGCAGCTGACCATGCGTGCCTCATTTACTGCATGTGATAGTTCCTAGCATCGTGGCCAACCTGGGCAGCCTCACTGACAGATGGAGAATATTAGCGCGGCTGCTGCTGCTGCAGAGCTCTGCTTACCGCCAGACTCAGAAAAGTAGCCGATAAGGGGATAGACTTAGGCGCTCATCCTGCTTCCTGCTGGAAATTAATGGAAAAACATGTAAGGCTGAGTGTAAGAGTAATAAGCTCTTACTTCAAGTGTATATAAATAGATGAGGCATGAATCCTGTTGCGCATTTTTTTTCTGGAGCAATCCCTGCAGATACAATTACTGAGCACAACCATGAAAATCTGCCTCTATTTACCTTTTCATAACATATCGCCTACAGGAAATCAGCAAAAGGAGTTTATCCATTTAAAAGCTTGAGAGTCCTTTTTATTCCAGTGTGATCACAGACGTAGAGAGGGGTCTTTCGTGGGGGGAAAGAGGGACACACATCTTGATTTGGCCGAGAGGTTCATTTCACAGCGACCTGACAAATTTCTCGAGCAAGCGTGAGAGCCCAATTAAGTCCCAGCTCTCTGAAAGGGGATCTAAGGCTGCTGCTGCTGCTGCTGACACCGACTGCACAGGCTGACAGACCCAGAGGGGACTCCACTCCTCCACGATTTATCGCACAGAGGCTCACGCTGCTGTACTGCAGTATTGTAAAGACGGGGGCTTATAGAAATATCCTGACGTCCTCTTTTAAAGAAAAGACTTTCCTGACTGAATCTATTTTTACAAACTGAAGGAGATAGATTCCTGCTAATCTGGAGGATAAAATCTCGACACTACCTCAAAAACTCCTCCCCTGAAAATACCACTAAGCATGAACAGGACTTGTACTATTTCGTCCTCTGGTTGGTCAGTAAACAAACATTTTCTAAGTCTCGGCTGTTGCCAGTTTGGCGCTGTGTTGGTGCTGCAGGTACAATAAACAGAGCTCAGCAGTTTGACACTAACAAAGGCCTTCTGTAAGGCAGGGATCGAGTTGAAGAAAGGACAAGAGGGTCTGCTACTCGAGGTGAGCAATTACAGTCCTGATGTGCTGATCTCACACACTGGCATGGTCTCAAGGTCAGCCATGGAGCAAATGTGAGGGGAATGTGACTTTAATATCCACAGTTCTCTCCTTCATCGGCTGGCTCCTCATCTTTTTCCTGTTTCTCACACTCTCTCTCACACACACACACACGCACACACACACACACACACACAATCACACACACAATCTTAAGCCTCCTGCCTCCCTTGTGCAATCAGCTGCGGGTCAGTCCAACGCTGTGGAGTCCAAACAGAGAGCTTCAGTCAGACTGAGGGGAGCCGGAGCTAACGCCTCATTAGTGACCCCAGCTGACCTCCAAAAGAATTCTTCATATTATGATAATCCACGCCTCGGTAAGAAGAGGCTGATTTTTCCCACTTTTTATTCAAACTTTAGGAGATTAGAGTCCCACTCTGGTAGTTTTTTTTAACTACTTAAAGTGTTCTCAGTGGACTTTAAATTGTGATTATGGCGTTTTTACCAAAAATTGCGTCACTTGTATCATTTTCAAAGACTTTTCTTCTGCAGAGCTCCAGTAGCTTGTTAGCAATTCGCCTCTGAGCTGTGGGCGGAGACGGCGCTGCTCTGCACACTCCTCGTCAAGCTAGCTTGTAGCCTAACCCCCGATTTCCAACGCATCCGGAACCAATATCCACCGGCTTCTTTCCGTTCCGCAGCTGATCGCAAGAGTTATATTTTTCTGGACGCTTGAGCATAAATTTAGCACAGATTAAGGAAGTCAGGCACAGACACAAAATAAAACAGCCAACTTCTTTTAAAAATAAAACACTCCATGTTTCAGGCAAGATCGTATTTCACACCATGCAAACGGTCGGGGACGAACAAGTGAAAGGTTTTAGACAGCATTTCACCCCGATGACACCATGGATGAGAAGATGCTGATTTTAAAGGTCTAGAAGGACACATTTTACTGCTTATATGGTCATGTGGCTATAGAGAAAAATCGTTATCGCGTGATTGCACGTGAATCCATGGGTTCTTGTGAGTTCTTGCAATTCCATGTCTGTCCATAATCCGCCACGAAATTTGCCTCACAAACGGATCTGGTAGGTATTGGCAAACGGCGAAAATCGCAGCCGTTCCAGATCGGTGCTGATCCAGATGCGGGCTTGTGCGGCAGCAGTAGCAGGAACATAGGAGCTCTTCGGCTCTCGTACACGAAATCTTTAGGGACATGATTAAAGTTAATATCATGATTAGCTTTCTTACTTTTCTACGATCGTTCTCTCTATTTCTCCGAGTGTGACCTGCGTCTGAGTTTGGATTTGCTACATATGAAATCTCAGTGTCTCAACCTGCCGTTTGAGTTTGCCAGAGAGTCACAGCACCTTGAATGCAGAAATATTCAGAAGTGCAATTTTATGTCTTGTAGCATCAGAAAAATGCCATGAACGTGTAAAAAAAACAAGAAAAACATGATTTTCATCTGAGTGGGTCTTTTAAAGTCAACATATTGATTTCTGATAACATTTTTGGGTTGATTTTAGACATCTGCTCTCAACTTGGGTGAAATATGTGTGTCTTAATACCAGAGGAGAAACATCGAGAATCAAAGCAAAGACTGAGGCTTGGGAGGTTTATCCAGGAGGAGAAGCACGATGACATGTAAGACGAGGAAACCAAAGATCTTTTGTGTTCGTTCAAAGGAGCTCATCTGTCAAATATGAAATACAGCAAAGACTCGCTCGCTTGCAGGTTTGCTTTCAGCTTATACGGTGGGAGGTTTGTGTCTTTCATAAAAACTCAAGTACACATTTCATTTTTACAGTAGCACAATACCTCAACTGTAATATGCACAAAGAAATCCGGCTCATTTTTTTAAAGGAAACTGTTGCATAGAAACTGACAGTGACGTGGACTCAGACGAACAGGAATCAAACTCTAAGATGGAGAAGAAGACTCAGACTTATTTATCATATCAGACTGAATTCTGGAGACTCTGTTCAGATTTGACTGAGAATAACTCCTGACATGCTTGTTGTGTAACTTTACTTCACATATTAGGAGCATGATTTTGTTCTTGTTTCTAAATGGGAACAAAAACACTAAATGCCAGAGGAGCACTGATGGAGTCATCTTTATAATCATATCTGCTGATAGACTGTAGGTGCACAATGTTAAATAACGATGCTATCTACTGACTGGCATGTTCTGCACAAGACCTTGCACTCTCACTCTAATATACACTCCATCTGACACTTAACACTCGAGGGAATAAAAGACGTTCATTTCCTCAGTCGGGAGTCTGTCTATTTAAACTAGAGCTGGGCGATACACTGAAAATATACAGATACCGAAATTTATGACAATAACTGACATCATTTTGCCCATATCTGTATATTTGGTGTCAAAAAAATACATAAATAAAGGTTGGTTTTGGATGTGTGTAGGTAGGCTATGGTCTCATGTCCCTGTAAGATGCTGTCCTACGTCAGAGACACGACTCCACAAAGAGGGAAAGACAGGTGAGGAGATGGAGGACGGTTCAAAAGTTGTAGCGGCTGAAGTAGACAAAGTTAATGTGGGAGGGGGTGAGCAGCTTGTGGAGTAGTTATCGTCCATTTATCGTTATCGAGGTGAACTGCTCAATATATCGTGATATTGATTTGACGCCATAACCCCCAGCCCTACTGTAAACTTTCTTTTCAGTGGACAAATCTGAAAAGTTTTCTTACCATGCTGCACATAAAGTCTGAAGAAGAAAATAACTTCCTGTTTGATCATTAAAACAAATGTATACAGATTTCATACAGGTGATAGTGTTGCAGTGCACAGACTTGAGTGGAGGTTTAGGTGGGTGTTTATCTAGGCCATCATTTCCTGAATCCGTCCCACAGAAAACATCCGTGTGAACAATCAACCTTTAAGCGGTAAACCTGGCTCTGATGAGCATCCAGGGACTCTGACCTTTTCCACGGATCTGTGTCACCAGAACAAAGTTCAGAGGATTATCCTCTACCTAGCATCATTTTTTCTTTCAAGGAACAGCTAATGATTGTACCCCAGAATGTTTAAAATTAAAAGAAATCCTGTTTTTGTATTCACACTCATAAAAATAGAGTTTGGGTGAGAATCCACTGTTATCCCTTTAAACGTCACACTACGAACAGTTGAAAATTTCAGTATGTCTTTGGCAAAGACATCCGAGTATCCAACGCCAAGCTATTTCTGTATGAGCACTAATAAGGATCTTTCCAACTTGAAGGTAATATATCAGGAGTGAGTATACGACACCCTGCCTACACACGGCCTCGCACTGCCCCTCATCCAAAACTGTATTTCCTGTCAACTCTCCTGGCCATCTTCAGAGCCTGCGGACGCTGGATATAATCCACGGCACGTCCCTGAGAGGTCGCCAAGGGGATGGGGAGATAAGCTCGGGAAGAATTCAAAGATTCTCACTCTGCCGCCAGCCACCCTGTCGCTACACAAAGGCTGTCACAACTGTTACAACACTTTCTGTCTCCTCTGCTGCAACCTCTAAATCAACCTCTTAGATTTGACCGAAAAAATTTCTCTCTTTCTGGATTCGGTCTTGATTGTGCGATTTATAAACGCTCACACTTGAAATCCAGAGGGGGATCTTCACCATGCAAAGACCAGTTTGATCCTGATTGTTTCCCAAATCAACAGCACCCTCTTAGCGCTTGGTGCACAGACAGGTTGTTGCCGTTGTTTTGTGATGTGTGTCTCTTTTGGCTGAGCTCATGGGACAGCAACGCCACTGATAACATCCATTAAATCTCCGTCCACAGATGTCTGATAAATGATTCCCATAACAAGTGTTTTAGGATTAGGAGGACTCGGGGCTTTAATTTTAATTTTCCAGTCCTCCACAGTATTGATCAGCCGTGCTTGCTCAAATTTTGGGAGCTATAAACTGAGTGCCATAACTAGAGATCTGCCACTCTTTTTCTTTTTATTTACTGTCATGCCAAGCGCTGATAAAGAAGCGGCACAAGCAATTAGTGCAACTCATTCATTGATTTTAACAGCAATGTGATCAATCTTAACAACCATTATGCTCTTCTCCAATTCCACTCTTTCACACAGAGCAGCCGGTTCGATACAGTGATCTACAGTACAATCAGGTCATCAGAAACAATGAGCGGGATCACAGTATGAACAATGCCTTTAAAAATCATTAGGAGTGATAGGACTGTATATGGGGTGATACAGTGATAATAGTGACTGGGATATGAAAGTGTGATGTTTGACACCCAGACGCTCGGTCTGTTTCCTCTGTCTGGTTTGCAGCTCGGGTTAAAAATTAGCAGCGGCGCTCTAATAAAAGTGCAGCGACTTCACACTTTGGGGGGAAAATGATTCAGTCTGCAGGCCACCAGTCATGCATGCGCCTGGTTAGAGACCAATGCATTTTTACTGCCCACTGAGCATGATAATGTGCTGAGCAGGGAGCAGAAACACCTTAACATCTGTCACACACAGCACACAGGCACTACAGGTGTAAATATTTAAGTGAATATGAGGATAAATCCCCTGAAGTAATCACACAGAGTCATATAAATAGATGTGGATTTCACTGTGTGGTGTGAAAACACTGACAGGGAAGATTAGAGCAGGTATTTTTATCACCTGAAGCCCAGTCTTTAACACATATACTTTAAATAGAAACGCCTACTGCAGCAGGCCCACTCTTAAATCTTTACTCTGACTTCTGTTTTTATTCTAAACTGAAGATGTTATCTGCGGGTTTACACAGACTTTTAAACGATGTGCACATTTTACAGAGTTGTTGCATGATGTTTCCTCTCGCAGAGGAAGTGTGGAGTCTGCTGTGGTTGATTTTTACCTTCAGAGGTGTGAAGAGCAGATGGTTTGATGTTGCAGTTCACAGGACGAAGAAACTCAGCAGAGGATGGTCACCTTTCTGGTTTAGGCATGATCATGTCTCATCTCCGCAGTCCTTCAGCCAAAACACAAACAGCAGCATGCCCTCAGCTGTGCCCCTTTTCCTCACTGTTGACCGATTAACCGCAGATTCGTCACGTCATTTTATCAAGCTTATTAGCTCGTGTTGTCTCCTCGCGCCGTTTCAGAGATCTGCCGTACAGTACGTTACCGCAGATAAACCCGCTACGCACTCAGAGGAGGAGGAGGGAGTAGAGTTAGTGTCCCTAAAACCGTCTGAAACACAGTCCTCTCTTAGTTTGATCAGCTGTCCAGGTCACAGTGTGGACGTGAGGCGGGCGCTGAGGTCGAGTCGTCTCTTCTTTTGCTCTCTGTCGCTGCCAGTCCGGTGCGCAGGGGAAGGTTGTCTGACGCTGCGGAGAGGCAGCGCCGCACCGCTCACAGCTCGCGCTCCCACACGGCCCAACAGCACTGCCTGCTGTACTTAAAGAGACACAGCAGAGGCGCCGCGCCGCACTCTGCACCGCGCTCTCTGCACCGCGCTCTGCTGCTGCTGCTGCTGCTGCTGCTGGGACAGACAGGGCAGGTCTGGCGCAGTTATATGAGCCCGAGGCTGATAAGCTAATTCAGTTTGGATATTTTTATAATATGGAGGAGAGACGTGCTGTTTCCTTGCTACTGTGGAAGCAAATTTGTCTCATAATTCAAATGAAAATAGATTAACAGAGATGTATTTTTTTTTATTTTGAGAATGTACCTACACTTCCAGGGCCGGCTGGTGGATTTTGGTGGCCCTAAGCAAGATTTTGTTTGGTGGCCCCCCCATAACCCAATACATGGGGTGGATGTTCGGGCATTTGAAACCAAGCACCACCCACTTACCAGATTGGTGCCTGGAAAGGAACGGTAGTAGCTCAGGAGGTAGAGCAGTTGGCCAATAACCGGAAGGTCGTTGGTTCGAGTCCCGAGTCTTCCAGTCTTTCTGTCACCTTCCTCCCGGTGTGTTTCCTCCACTGGTGTATGATTATGAGTGTTGTGTGCTGGTGGTTGGAGAGGCTGTAGGTACAAAATGGCCCAAGGGCAGCTGTGACTACCAAGATTTTTTACTGTGAGTGAATAAATGATTTCTCCAAGGTACAGTGCTTTGAGGGTTTCTGACAAAGCGCAATATAAAATCTGATGCATTGATATGACTTAATATTATACTAAATGTTAACCACCTAAATGCTGGGTTTAAAGAACCCAATTGTTGGGTGAAGTGAACCAACCCAATTAGTTTGGTAAAATGAACCCAGAGTGTGTGTTCTGTCCAATATCTGATTTGGAAACTACCCAAGTTGGTTTGTTTTTAACTCAATGTTTTTAAGAGTGTATTTATTTCCCCATCAAACCCTCAGTTCAGAGTTAATTTGCAGAACCCACGATACTCTGACTAACTAGGCCCAGCTGGATTAATTCACTGAACTGAGCCCACACAGAGTATAATTTTATTATCTAGACCTACAAAATAAATTAACATTTTTTATTGTGTTTCTATGTGTGTGAGATTTGTGAGGGTGGCTGTGTGTGCATGTGTACATAAGCTCTTATCAAACTGAACACATTTAAGCTACAGAAACTTCAGCTTCTCTGCCTTTTTAAAAGCTGAAATTATCATATGTTTTGCCACAACACTAATTTTTTGATTAACACATATTTTTGGCCTGTTTTTTATTCTGATATTAATCCTTTTTTCCATTTCTGCTTCACCCCACTCAGACCCATCCACCAGATGTTAAGCTTCTATGTGTGTTTGTGCTGCATGCAGGATTTCCAGTGTCAGATCAGGCTGATCATCCATTCTGTTTCACTGCAAATCTTGTTTTTGTCAGTAAACTGTGTGTTTCAATCAGTTTTATCATCCTATTTCTGACAGTCACAGCTGTTAAATCAAAGGCTTAGAGCAGCTGAGAAACACAGATCTCTGAAGTGTATGTGCACAAACAGACATCTTCATGCAAACAGACTGCTCTCAGAGCACAAATCTACAGCCCACAAGGTATTCTAAGTCTCAAATCCACCTGGCTGACGTGGTTTTAGAAAATAGGCGGCTGCCTGACACAAAGATTAAGTTTTAATGAAAGAAGATCATGGGTTTGTCTCACCTGTGAGGTTTTTGTCAGCCTACTTAGTCTCTTCTTGCTCCAGCACCTGCAGTCTGAATAAGCCACTCAGTCATTACAAGCTTAACGCTGCATGGTGCGTCCCGAAGGGATAGTGTGCTGACACGACAGAAATGATTCTGCATATTTCAGCTTCATCAATTCATGCGCCAGTTGCTGTGTGTGCTGTCGCCAGGAGTGCTGTCACCTACAATTACTCTCCTCAATATGGTGACTCAGCGATGGACTCCAACTCAGAGGGTAATTCTTAGAATAACCAGTGTGCATGGTGATATTACTCATGATGAATCAGGTTGGCAGGATACAAAAACAGTCTTAAAGACTCATGGAAAAGAAAATATGGATTTTGACGCAGGTAATCGTAATTTGTTATTGCTTTTTATGTATTTTAAGGATACAAACAAACGCATGTACTGTTCAAGGTCATGGGTATGTTTGTGTGTAGAGGGTGGTAAATCATGTGGTGCAAGAGATAAAACTCCAGACCAGCCAACGCAGTGCATCTGCATCAAAAGCCTGCAGTCTCTGCATTGAGAGCACTGTGTGCGGCCCTGTGTGTGTATGAGACCACCACTGATTTATCTGCTCCTCGGATGCAGAAGACAGAAGTAAATAGACAATAATAGGCTCATTGTGTAAATCTGCTCTCTCATGGGGACATGTAGGCGGTGGTATGAAAAGGGGGACGGAAAGAATGCGCCTTCATTTTCACATTGAGTCCAAATGAATCCCTTTTCTGATGGTCCTGTTTCATGTCAGCGTCTGGCGAGGACTGGCAGCACAGAATCCAAAAGATAACTCATTCTGTTGGATTCCTCCCTCTGTCACCGGGATGGCTGCACCACATATCTCATGCACAAAAGCCCGACACCAACCTGATCAAAGACATTTTATGCAGAAACCCACATGTCACCTGTTCGCCTTCAAACGGGAGACCAGTCACGCTTTTGTGCTTTAAAAACAGCATCGTGGTAAATCAGAAGGAGCTACAGTACAGAAAGAAGCTCTTTATTGTCAGATTTGTTTATTAAAATGAGGATTATAGTTGAAAGTTGTTTTTTCATGTCTTTGCCATGTGACCGAGACGTAAAGAAAGATGTTAAACTATAGCATGCTTATGTAGGAATGAAAGCCTTTTATGTCATTCGAAGAGGCCTCATACAGACTTTGGAGGCCAACATGTGCCTTCCTGACTATCATTAAGTTCATGTTTCCAAGTCCTCAGTTCAAAAACACCATTTCAGAGAAGCTATTGTGTTTGTTTTGAAGCACTAAGACTCCATTAATTGTCACATGAGATCAGGATCTGTCTGAGTGCACTTCTGAGCGTCAGTGTTGCCTCCAGCTCATCGTGAACAATGGCACGACAGTTCTGTAACTCTAGACCGTCATCGGACAGAAAAGTTGACATCAGCTTTCCGTGTAAACATCCTTTTGTTGTCACGTTCATGTTTCCATGCCTGTAACAGAGAGCCAAAGGCTGTTTGATGATAATGTGAGGACCAAGTTGTTTCCCACGTTCAAACTGGGCTCTCACTTTATCACTTCATGCTAAAAGGAATACCAGGAAAGACTTTCAGAAACTATCATCAGAACCCCTGGAGTCTAAAAGTCTATATATCAAAATTGAGAGATAAAACCAAAATTAAAGAAAAAAATATCAAGTCAAATTAAGAGAATTATGACATCTTTGTAGCTTGTTTGTAATTCAAGCCAACCAATACAAACATATTTTAGCGATAAATAGGGCTGGGCGATATGGGAAAAAGTTATCACGATATATTTCTGTTCATATCAGTCGATATCAATATGTATCACGATATAAAAAAA